GCCTCAGCGAGGTCGTTGATGCGCACGCAGGTGAGCTCCGCCACCAAACGGTTCGTGTCTCCAGCCAGCAGGATTTCCTTGGGCAGGAAGGTGCTTTTGTGGAGGGGCACTGGGCTGGGAGATTAGGTTGAAACATGTGGGCTTGGAAAAGAATCATGCTCCAAACCAGTTGGTCAAAACATGTGAGAACCGACCGAATTAAAGGGGTCAAACGATCACCCTTCTTGCACGCTTCTCTATTGTGGACCAACTGCTGTGAGTGAACCCATGTGAATCTCAGTCTGTGGTTGACACATTCTCAAAACCCCTGGTGCTATGATCGAAGAACTGCTGATCAGAAAGCCAATGGCCACTGGAATAACAGCCAAGCCGGACCAAGCTTCTTTCATGGCCTTGAACTGTTTCACGAGTTGCTTCCCGAAAATCTTTTTCTGCACATCCCCCTCCTTGGCCAGAAAGAGCTCCATTAACGCTCCCAATGGGACCACGTTCAGGTTCTTAGTGACGGTCGGCGCCCTCTCCTGAAGGCATTTGCGACTGTCGTACCATGGCGTCCGGGGTGTCCTTCAGAACGTGAGACTTCTCCGCACATCTGGATCGAAAGCGAAACAGCGTCAACCAAAAACCTGGAAATCTTGGACCACCGACGAAAGCTTGGAGCTCGTTGAAAGGTCAGTCTTGTTCGAGTCTGCACCCTTGGACCCAAACTGCACGGTTAGCACCCAAGTGGTCGGCTTTTCACCTTGGACACCTCAAAGATTTGCGAGTCACAAGGTAATTAAAGCAGGTCAAAATCTTAAAACAGGAGGGAAACATAGGGCTGCATCATAGGAAACCATGTTCTTCTCTAGGTGGAAAGCTTGACCCCATGGCACCTTCACTACATCACTTTGACAGGGAAGGTGACAGCAACATTCTGACAAAGGAGGAACACCAGTGAAAAATAGCGAAAGGGTGTGTGAAAGCGAGATGGGGTTGCAGCTACGGTCTGTGCTTCAATGTGTTTCATATCTTATTGACTCCGCGCCACGGTGCTGGCATAGAACAATAGCACTAGACAGCACTAGAAGTCAACCCAATGCACATGACATTCCATGACTAGTAGAGTAGAGTCATAAACAGTCCAAACAAATCAACAAACATCATCAAACTTCAAACATCAATATTGATACAGATATCAATATATATATATACACATATACTTATACTATACATAGAATAAAGAAACATAACTAAAAAAAACACACACATTGCAACACACAGCTGACGTGGCTCGACGCAGCTGACGTGGCCCGACTCGTCTCCTTAAACTTTCCCGAAGGCGCTCGACTCGGCGACCTCTCCCGGTCGAACATTCAAATCGACCGGGAACTGTTGCTCTGATCGAATCACCCACGCTCACGATATATAATATATATATAGTTATATATATTATGTTATATTATATTCGTCGGGCAGCCCGCGTTCAGTAAAAGCCAATGGCTGTGGCTTGCCAAGTCTCTGAGTGGTAACTCTGATAGATGCTACGTGAGGAGGCACCGTGAGGAATTCCCGCCACGTCACTGGGCCATTCCCAAACCTCAACTGCCGCCGGGAAAGTCAGACTTTCTTGCGGTGGACGTTTGGACGTGTAGCGATTCACGAACCTGGGCAGTAGTCTTTTCCGGGGTGCGAGTAAGATCAAGTGTCCCCCAAAAAAGCTTCAATGCCCATAGGTCGAGGAGATTCGAAGTGGCCCGGCCCTGCTTTCCAAAACACAGCAGTGACCACTTATCGATGTCTTTTTGGTGCGTTCGTCCGAGGCGACAGCCTGGTGACATCACCGCTTTGTTCATGCGATCGGCTCCGTTCTACAGGGGGCATGATTAAAAAATAACTTATGCCCAAACTGAAATAGCTCATTCCCGTCATTCCTCGGAGTCTAGGGAACCGAGCGTATCATATTTAGCATTGCAATGATGGGGCGTAGTAGTTGCCCTCAAAGAGTCTTTGATCAACCAGTGTTGGTGGCATGGTCCCTTCACAAGCAAAAACGACAATGGTCCCTTCCTTGAGCAAGCGTGAAATGATTGGTATGAATGAAGGCTCATCTTACTATTGGGGACGATCCAGTTTACTCAAGGGAGGTCCTTCTGCACAGCTGATTTTCAATCAAATGCCAGCCAACTGGAGGACCCAAAGTGGATATCGGTGTCTTCATGCCGAGGATGGAAAAGGATGCAATGGAACCGGACCAGGTGTCCTCCGGCTCGTCGAATCTCAAATCGATGAAGGAGGCCAAGTGATTCAAAAGGTCATTCCTGAAATCGCTGCGTCTGACTGCGTCCCCTGCCGAACACTGTTGTTGTTGTTGTTGCTGCTTAAATGCGGCGATTTAAATTACAGTAAGAGGACCGCGCCCCTGAAGAAAATCTGGTGGTCACCCTGTGGTCACCCATAGGCAGGTTTTTCATGGCCTTCTATATGCTGTAAACATCGGTAGACAAATAAACATACAACACACATATAATAACATGTACATAGTTACATAGTGTATATAATATATAATCATATGTATGTACTGTACACATCAGTGGCTGAGAGAGAAAGAGATTGATGTGGGAAACACGGTAGGACAACAAGCCAGCACAACTGAACAAAAGATTCATGGTGATGCAATGTGGAACATCAGAAGAGGCCAATGGTTCCAGGATCTCATATCCAACACCGGGTCCCAGCGCCAACTCCACCCCAAAAAAGGTGGTTTGGGATTCGACTCCAGATAAAGAAAAAAGGTCCAGAAAATCCGAGGTTCACATTCTCTTCGCTGTAACGCGTCAAGCCCAGTGCGCAAATCGCCTCATGCAGCGACTTGCCCGACACCAGCTTATTGGAGCTCACCTGCCCCAAGCGTGCGCGGAGCCGATGGCGAATGGCACTCTTCTCAGCTTCATTCATCTCCGACAGGTTGGAATTCAAAATCGCCGAGGAGTCTCCGTGCGCGATGCCCGGCGTGTCCATCTCCACCGATTTCTCCGACACCACGCTGGTCTTTTTGGAGCGTTCCTCGATGTCTGGAACCACCGGGACGGTATCAGTCAGCCTGGAGCGTTCCTCGATGTCTGGAATCACCGGGACGGTATCAGAAGGGTCAGACTCCACCTGGCCATAGGGCGAAGGCATGGAGTCCAGCACGCTTGCGACCTGTTGCACCTCCAGGCTTGCAGTCAAGGGTGCCCCGTGGAGTCTCTGCAAGTCATACTCGAATGTGGACTGAGAGCCTTGCAAAACATGACAAAGACAAAGAAACAAACAAAGAGAAACATCTCCCAAACATATGCTTCATACATCTTCCTACCATCACCATGCAAGCAATGCCCACAAAGGTATGAGAGCAAACTATTCTTGAGCCCATTGGTGCTCAAGGTCTCCATTTGTTCGATTCTGATCGCTGTTCTTTCTCAATGGGTTCCTGGTGTCCATTACTGTATATGAGGAACGTGTCTTCTTCGAAACCGCCGGTTGCTATCCATCGTGGTCGTTCGTGGTCATGACGACATAGGTAATAAGCTAAGTCAAGGGGGCTGGCTGGAAGATCACATGGTGCACCTCCCTGCTCCAGAATCTCGCAAATTAAACAGATCCATAGCATGATCTAACTCCCTGGTTTTTCGGACCCAAATGTTGGAACCAAGTAAGGCCGCCCAATCTGAATCCATAACATCCATCGCTTGCATCACAACTCTTCACATCATGCCCGGCCCACACATGTTGTTGTGAGCCTTTACCGAGGTCATCGCACTGTTTAACATACTCACTTGCATCGATATGTGTTAAAGCTGATGTTGATTCTCAAGCATGTATGCAAATCCAGCACTATCAACCACTCATGTTGTTCACCTCCAATCATCTTGACCTCCATCCGGCACATGCAACCAAGGCGCTTGAGCTGGTCGCGCCTGGCCTCCGGGCCGCTTGCAGCAAATGATTTCGAAGAATGCCCAGCGAAGCGTCCAGGAACTCCTCGAAGTTCGGTGCCATTGGCGTTTTCATGGCCGAACTCCCTCGAGAGAAATGCTTGCGAAGTGTCGATGCTTTTTTCAGCTCTGCAGACAGTGTCGATTGAGATCTCGCCCGAAGGAACAACATTGACATATGACATATACTTAATATAATGATTGACTGTCTAGACTTGTTCAAAGCCCCCAAAAAACAGAATCAATAAACACATAATAGAGATTTCCAAAGACTCAGTGGTTGCTCTTCACACTCGGAAGATTCTCAGAATGCCTCAATCCCACGCTTTGCTTTGAGGTGCTACACTGAAATGACACGCGCTTTTGTACCGCCGGCACGAGCCACAGCACTGCAGGGTGCTCTGTGCACAGCTGGCTTCCTGGATTACTTTCAAAAACACAAAGCCGGTGGGGATCACGCATGGATCACATGTACTGTATTTTCGCATGGATGCGACCAAGGCAAGGCACCTGTAGAACGCAAAAAACACATTCAACACGAAGGCGGCTGGGCCTTCATTTGAAAGACATAGAATGCGAACACAGAATCCGGAAAGAAACTATAGTGGGCTTTGGGTAAGGCCTGGAGCTTCATGAATCGATTTCATGATCCGGCCTTCCGAATTTCCTCCATAGACTCAGCAGTATGATGCAGTATGTAAGTAACACTATCTCCATGAACTCTGAGTCTTTGCTTTACGGAGTTCGTGCTTTTCTGGACCCAGAACCGAGTTGACAAAGGGGGTGGAACATATTCCACTGGACACCTTCCCACTGCAAGAAGAATTCAAGCAAAAACACCTCCTCATCCAAGACTCCTATTAATAAAAACCGATGGTGAATTTAGCATCGAGATGAGGGGCTTTTGAATGCTCGAATCAGTCACCAGCTCCGGGACCTGATCGGATCTGTATGGACCAGGAGGGTCCGGTGTCACTACCCACCCTGGAGCTGAACACCGGACCGCTTCACGCAGGCGGCCTCAGAAGGTCCCATCCAAGAGTCGTTCTTGCAGGCCGTAGGCGCGAAGATGTACCAGCCCGGTTGAGACCTCCGAGAAGTGTACATAGAGGGGGCTCCTGACCAGGTACTGAGCGGCTGAACTTCCGTACGGGGCAGCTTGGCGAACTTCACCCAGCATGAGGTTGAAACATGCTGAAACCCTTGGACACCCGCCGATCTTTGACCGCTCAGATCTGCCATTGATCGGGACCCGTTGCTGTATTGAATGATTGACCCATGCCCGCCGGGTGGGGTGGCAACCCAGGTTGACCACTGTGCTCTGCTAGGTTTCTTTGAGCAAAGCTCGTTAATAAACGACCTCAGTATGGGATCCACTTGATCCAGTTTTGAGATTCTTGCTGTTTCAATCTCACGATTCTGGACTCTCAAGCTCTAAGCATGGTACAATATATGTTGCCATTATCTTAAGGATCTCATTCTGTGCCGAAAAGCCCATCCATTCGCTCCAAACGGGCTCCAACGGAGAAACCGAAACTGGGTCCAAGCTGTGGGACATTCGCATGCTCGTTTCCACACGTTGAGACACCCCGAAACTTCGACTTCAGCATCTTTGGAAGGTCCTGGACACTGACTCGAGCCTCTGAAGCTCTCGGAAGCTGGCAACGTAGTACCTGTCAAATGTGAACAGCGCAACATTCTGACGCAGCTCCGCGCGAGCTGCAGCTGTCGCACGTCACAATGGGAAACCTATTCTTTTCCCTCAGGGCGACACCAAGACGACGTGGCACACGACTGGGATGAAACCGCCCTTCATCTCGCCATACGACGTCGCACGTCGGACGATCCCGCTGAAACGATGGACGTCTGTCGGGTCTCCCCCCAGTGTCACCCGCCTGCGAATGTATATAAAGATCATGCACAGTGGGATCAACCCAGCTAAGGCATAGGTGGACACCTCGGTTTCATCGCCGGCCCGACAAAGCGACCAGGACCAGTACAGAGCGAGCGAGCGTTTTCTTCCTGAATGTGGCTATTGGACTCTCGGATGTGAAAAGGATAGAAGAGAATCCTCTGACAGCACGATATGAAATAACGATCACACAATCACATCTCTGGTAGTTCCGGTGGCAAATGGCCATCAAGGCCTGAAAATGATCACCCTTTCCCAAGAAATAGCCGGCTGATGGACCAAGCTCTAATACCGACACAGTCCGTTTCCGTTGGAGGAAGTATGCTGAGGTTGGTACCTGTTGGAGCGGTGCACCTGTGGTGTATGTTGTGAGTCATGATTGAGTCGTCGTAGATTCACTGAATATCCACAGGTCCCCCCTCACATTCACCCCTGGCGCGAAGGATGTCTCCTGATCGAAACCAGTGCGATCGCAGGACCATGGTGCACATCACCATGCTGGAGAGGATGTAGGAGAAGCTGGTGAGAAGCTCAGACATGCACTCCTCAGGAGAACTCAGCGGCTGCTAAACAAGTTCCAAAGTCTATTCAGTCAAAGTAGAGCAAGAGAACCTGCTTCTAACCCTGCAACGCTTCACACATGCACTTCCCAACTAAGGCCACGTGTCTGGAAGCATCGTATCCATCGCGTCCAAGTCCTGCTCTGACTTCCCTCTCACTCTGAGTGGCGCATGAGGAGAGGGGGCTTGGCAGGCTCGCCACATCCCGACCCCAAACAGACCCACGAGCGTCGAGCGTCCCATGAAAGGCGTCTGTGGGCGTCGGAAAGCCGGGAGTGGTCCCCCTTTTTCAAGCTGAACGGCTGCCCACCCACAAGAAGCCCAGGAGGCCGTTTCAAGGGGGGTTGGCGATGTGTTCCACAGCAGGCTGGCGATGTGTGAAAAAACATGAGCCACTCCCACCCCGTTCCGCGCGTGCACTTCCTTGGAAAAGCGGTTCAGGATACGTCCCACTGGGACCACATCAAAGAACAAAGGAGCTGAAGCATTCAACACCTGTGCCGCGCGCCGCGTGCCGAGCTTGGAAGGCATGAGAGCATGCCGTTTGGTATGGGGAAGTCCGACGAGATGGCCCATGAGTATGGGGAAGTCCCGATGAATTCTTCTCTACAGTGAAATCCGCCCCCTCCCTCAGCCAGGGGCTGTCTCTAGTTTGTCAAGGAACTACAGTACTTGAGCTGATGCATCCCAACCAATCGGGAAACAGCAGCCGCCAGCTTGGATATATATATATATTGTATATATATATAGAGAGAGAGAGTCTGTCTGAGCTAAGCGGGACAGCGAACTTGCTCTTGCTCTCAATCGTCAAGTTTGTCCTTGAAGTAGCACAGTTGCATATTACGTGCAAATTCCCTGGCAAAGCACGCACATGACTATATGAATAATAACAATGTATTGATCATGACTTCCAGCAATATGCACCAATACTTTCTGAATATACTGTCGACTATTGGCTCAACTAGTGGGGTTAGCTATGGTTAACCTCTCACCATCTAAAACGTTTTCATCACGAACCTTTCAGCCCGGTTCTGCTACCGTTGCTGCCACCTCGCCGGACCGTTTCAGCCCGCTCCGCCTTTTGCACCATGTAATGGAAGGTGCCGCCACCGATCTGGGTCACCTGGGTTACCAGGACGGACGTATTTAGAGAGTTCTGGACATGTGACCGCCTGACAGACGATTCTTGGGATATGTTGGATTTGGCGCTGCTGGTTCCGACAACTGCTTGAACTTGCACAGTGAAATCCAAGATGTTTAAGCGGTGGATTGCGTAGATGCCTCTAGCCCAGGCTGTCTTTCGGTGGGCCCAGGCTAGGCCGTTCCTTTGGACTGTCCAGCTGGAGCTGAGGCCCTCAGTCCAACTCCCTGAGTGAGCCTCTCTCCATGTGAGTTCTTGCTGCTGCCAAAAAAAGAACACATGCAGAAACTACAGTGGTTTCAGAGTACATTACACAAACCCTTAGAATACGTTAAGAATCTTTAAGATGGGGGTCCATATAAACCACCTTTGCGGATTACGCCATCTACTCTCAATCCACTGTAATTATCTGAACCCATCAGGCACCTGAACAACTCCATGTCATTCTATGTCACACACTTAGATTTACCCCAAAGCTCCGCCGGTGTGTTCTTGCGCCCAGCCGCGATTCGGCTAAAGACCATGGCCCGAATCAGCCCAATGACCAGCACGGCCACAACAATGCCTCGGAAAGCGCGGCGAGGCCTGGTCGAGAGTCGAAAGCCAGGTTTGGGGCTAGGCCACTCTGGTTGTCCAACCTCATCCGGATGCGATGTGAGTCATCGCGATCTCGGAGTCTTTCCCAGCTCATTCATCTGGCCAAGTGACAGCCATAGCCCAGCACCCAAAACCCCACATCAATGTCTGCCTCCTGCGTAGATGTGCGCACGCGTCACGTGGGTGAGTCATCTGAGAATGATCGAACAACATCGAAAAACATTGCAATTAAGCCCACTCAGCAAAGGGAGTGGTTGTTGTTTTGCTCGACAAATCCTAGATGTGCTTGATGGGTCTTGATGGAGGTGTTTGCACATGATCAACGGGCTGAGTACTCTCTCTCTCTCTCTCTCTCTCTGGTGAGTCTGGGGCTGAATACTTGCTATACTCACTACTAGCTGACTAACTTCAAGGTGACTACATGTGAATACCAATGTTCAATGGTCACCATGTCACATCATCGCCATCAATTCCATAAACCTGATCTAATTGTGGCATCCTCCGTTGGAACGCCACAGGCGCCATGTTGGGGGCACCACGGCGGGGTCGGCGGGTCGCCGAACCGACTCGGTTCGCCCAAAGCTGAGGTGCGAAGGTGATTGAGACGAGGACCTGACATGACGTTGTTTTTTTTCCCCGAGTTCTGTGTTCCAGTCGTGAAGTTGAAGGTCGTCGCTCCTTTGAAAGATCTGAATATTTTCCCCCCAGAATCCGCACTTGGGACAGATCTGAACACTGATGAACACTGGACTGAACACTCTCATTGAGAACCAGACTTCGGCAGCTCGAAAACAGCCATCCAGGATCATCCAGAGAAGGCGCCAGGTCCTGAGACGACACGGAGGAGGTCCATAAGGTGACCCAGACCTCGGTGAAGGTGCGAAAGCCTTCGGCCAGCAGGGCGAGTCCAAAGACCTCGGTGGATGACCGACCGCGGCAGACCAAAACCGTTGCGGTGGCGCTTTGACGTTCTTAGGATCCAGGGAAACAACACACATGAGGCAAAGTTCATCAATACTGAAAAGAGTTGGACCTCCTTGGATTCGCTCAAATGACAATTTATGGGCATCAGTCCGGAAATTTCAAGATCAAACTTCACAAGTCTGCAATGGACAACGTAGAGCCATTCCACGCCTTTCATGGCAACAGTTCTACTTATATGGTTGTTGTGTGTCGGCGTGGTATCCTAATTCAACCCTACGGTTTTGAGATTTCATAGCAATGTGTATGATTTTGTATGCACCTTAATTCCATTATGCATGCGCGATTGAACTTTTGCCAACAAACGTTGCACAGACATGTGCTAAGCGGAGGAACCCTTGTCGACGTACGGATTCCGAGGGATGCCCGGAGTCGGAGCCCCCTTTTACGGCGAGGTCTTGCAGGTATTAGTTGTCCCCAAATAAATAGTGGCACGGTTTCCGGCACCTTTTGAGAGGGATGTTATGGGATGTTGTTTTTTAGATTTAAATTCTATTTGGAACCACTATATGTTTTTTGTTTTCAGGCCTTCCCTGTTCTTGCACAAAGCTGGGTTTGAGACATTCACATGCACAAAGCTGGGCACCAATTTGTCGAGCCACGGTGAGGAAGAGCAAGGCACCAAGAGCCAAACTGCCGCTTGACGTGGCATGCTGAAAATATGAGGCATAGGCGTGGAAGCTCAAAACCTGAAACCAATTGGCCAAAGACATGGAGTTTCAATGGCCGAAGGTGCTTGGCTGGGCCACTGAACAAATCAAACGCAAATTTTAAAACACAGATTACTCTACTTCGGGTGATCCCCACATCGACACTTCAATCATTTGTCTTCATGCCATGGGAGTTTTGTGGTTCTCGACTTTGTTTGTGGGTCCTGTTGTTGTGTGCCGTGATTGTGGTTGTGTGTTGTGGTTGTGTGCTGTGGTTTTGTGCTGTGGCTGTGTGCTGTACATGTGTCTTTGTGGTTCTGTGTTTGTGATTGTGTGCTGTGTGCTTGTAATTGTACTTGTGTGTTTGTGGTTGTGTCGTTGTGTGCGTGTGATTGTGTTTGTGTTTCTGATTGTGTGTGTTTGCGGTTGTGTGAAGTCTGGCGGAGAACGCTGCCAGTCAACGCTCGCGGTTGAGGTCCGGCGGGGGACACTGCCAGTCGACGCTGTGGTTGAGGTCCGGCGGGGAACACTGCCACGCAGCCCGTGCAGTTGAGGTCGGGCGGGGAACACTGCGGCGCGGCCCTCGCGGATGAGGTGAGGCGGAGGCGGGCGAGCCCCGCGAGCCAGAGTGCGGCTGACATAAAATCTATTAAAATAATCTAACAGCCCTAACCTGACAGGTGGTGAACGAAGTACTTTACTTCGAGCGATCCCCACCGTCACATTTCAATCATTTGTCTTCATGCCATGGTGAGGAGCATGTTGCCATGGCCGTGAGTTTTGTGGTTATCGATTTTGCTTGTGGGTCCTCGGGCTGTGTGCTGTGGTTGTGTGTTGTGCTGTGGTTGTGTGTTGCGGTTGGTTGTGTTGTTTGCCGTGGTCGTGTGTTGTGGTTGTGTGCTGTGGCTTCGTGCTGTAAATGTGTCTTTGTGGTTGTGTGTTGTGGCTGTGTTTGTGCTTGTGTTTCTAGACGTGTTTGGGGTTGTGCTTGTGGTTGTGTTTGTGGCTGTGCATTTGTGATTGTGTTTGCGGTTGTGTTTGTGGTTTTGTGCTTGTGGTTGTGTGTTGGTTGTGGTCCGGCAGCGCACAGTGCGCCCGGGAGCTGGCGGTTGAGGTCCGGCCGGCGGGGAACACTGCCACGCGACCCTCGCAGTTGAGGTCTGGCGGGGAACGCTACCAAGCAGACCTCGCGGGTGAGACGACACGGAGGACGAGGAGGAGGACGCCAGCTGACATAAAATCTAACAACCCTCACCTGACAGGTGGGGAACAACCAGGGACTTCAATGTCTGGGCATAGGTCTTACCGACCGATGTCTCTTGCCAATGTCTTTATCCAAGCCGCTCCCACGTTCCGGTCTTCAGCGATGAGTAGGGCGCCTGACGCCTCTTTGGTGGAAGGATCCTTCACAGTCACTGAGGCGGTCACCGCGGGCGCAGCTGAAGTCACCTGGGATGCAGCGAAGAGCAAAGGGCCCAGCCAGCTGACAAAGATGGTGGATGGCGCCACGAATGGGGCATCGAAGCTGTCCAGTTCAGGACATGATGTGTTGGACAGCAATTGGCCCAAGACAAGCAAATTACGAGTAGTTCGAAAATGGCACCCATGAGTCATGACTGATCGTGCTTCCTGCTCAGTGTTCAAAGATCTATACCTGCTTGATCCTGTTTGAGGGTGCTCGCAATGTTTACAGTTCTACCGATCTCTTATGTCATCCGATATTATTTAAACAAAAAAATAGAATATTATACAATATTTAAATACATACGTATCAGTTTCATTGTTTTTACTTTGCCCCTCTCCGATCGAGCCATCGAGCAACAGGTGCTGCACCCATTGTCTTCAGGGCCTGGCAGATTGGAAGTGACGATCGAATTGAAAGAAAGGGGCCGAACGAGAAGGATACCCTGCTGAACACTAACATGGAACCTGAAGGCCACTGATTTGTAGAGGAAAACAGTCTTTCAGGGTGCCATTCTCGGTGTCCATGTTAGTGTTCGGCAGTGTAGATAGCCTGCTGTGTGAGATTGCCAAAACGTTTACAAACCTTTACGCAATTTGCTTCTCAAGCAACACCATGTTTTCATAAGCACTCCACTGTGTTGCCTAGACCGCAAAAGGTGAAACTTCAATTCAAGCATCCATGAAGGAGCCGGAATTCGCCAGAACAGAACAGTATGCATGTTTTTGCCCCGACGCCTCCAACACTGATTGGGGGGTCGTGCCAAGTCCAGAAATCCCTGCATGGCACTGCATGGTAATCTGACAGACCACAAAAACATCTTCATCAGAGGCCAGCCACAAAAACAAAAAAAACACACACACACATTACAGTAAAAAACAAGAAATCGTACTTTCTCACTGCTGACTCCAAAGAACCACAGCTCATCACAGCTCGACATCCAAGTCGAGCGACATCGACGCTTTGCTTCGACATTCATGCCTGGCCTCTTGAAGCCAAGGGGATTCCCTGTGAACCACTTCTAAAGGCCCTTGTGCTTCAATGCCACCCTGGCTATCCAGGATCACCACCTACGCCATGGGCCGCATCGACACAAAAACATTGTCAGGCAAAGCCGATGACCACCATGGAAAACGATGAGGGGGCATTCCCAAGTGAAGCTTCACTGAACCCCTCAGCTTCGAGCAGACATCTTCCAGATCCACTTTGCCATACGCTTTCCCAACTGTTCAGAATATGGTGCCCCCAATGCCCCAAAAGGGTCGTGCAGCTTACCATGGCTCATTCCCTTTCAGAAAGCCGGTCCGAGTCGGCTCATTGAGGGTCCGGCTTTTCGACATGCCAAAGGGAATGCCCGGCGTGGCGAGGAAGTGCCCAAGCAGCGTGTGGCAGGATCAGATCTTTTTGCAGGGTAGTACAGGATTGCTTTTCCACCAAGTCTAATATAACTTTCTTTAGTATACAGAAATGTAAATGTTGATTCTTATATAACATTATACAACTTTACTTACCCCCACAAAAACGACTCTCAGGAACCAACAAGACCTGGCATTTCGTTTCATCTTGCGCCCCTTGCAGGTGGCCGGTAACCCCTCTGTTGGCATCAATCACATACACTGGGGAGTCACCCAAGCATGTCGGAGCCACTGGTCGGTATTTTTGTCGAGGATGGGTGGAAGACGCCCGTCTCTCCCTGTCTCACCACACCACTTGCTGCCTAGGGAGAAGTATCCAAGTCCGTCCTTGACCAACTGTGGGAGAGAGGGTGCGAGAGGCATTTCAACATCTTCGAAGCATCCAAGCGCTTCAGCCCCCCTTTTCTCGCCCCTTAAGCCGCTGGTATGTGTCGAGCTTTCACCTGGGCACATCCCACGGGTTTGCATCGGAATCACCTCCCAGGACGAGTACATGTCGCCTGCTGAGCATGCGGCAGCAGCAGTGGGAGGAAGGTATTGGCCACCACGACCTAGCTTGCCACATGCACCACACACCATTGAAAGAAAAGCTACATCACACATCTGCCAGCTTCCATGTGACGTTTGTTGGAGAGTTCGGGCACCCATAAATAACGTAGGCTTCTCTCAATCTTGCATCCACAACTCACACATCTTACCATACAAAGGACATGTACATCTTCTATGCCAAAGCTCTCCCAAAGATCTCTTCTGCCCCCTTTCTTGCCCTGCTTCTAAGGTGCTCGGGTGCTGCTCTTCAAGGCTCCCAGCAAGGCCTCTTGGATCAGGGCGGTTGCCACATGCACATCCACCGCACCTCTCCGGCCGCTGCGGAGCTCTCCGGCCGCTTAGTATGACCGGTTCCGGTGGCCACGAGCGAACACTGGACTACGGATGCACTCTGCAAACACTGGCACCACACCCATGAAGATCATGAAGCAACTAATTAGCAACAACCAATAGCAGTCGTAATTGTTTTCGAATAACAGGGACAACAAGGATGTTTGACATACCAGGCCATTGGCATGTTCTGTTTATTGTTGTTTTTGCATTCTTGTTTTCTGTATACGGTAGGTTCATGGTTTCAGGGAACAGTCCTCCGACCCCCCAAGCAGCATCACGACAATCTGTGGACATGTGTGGACAGTGTGGACGTTGATCTCAAGCGCTGCACACAAAATGTGATGGGTGTATGATGGCTATCATGAATTTCCGCAAACTATGGAGATCAAACAAATCCAGTCTTGACAATCCCAAACCACCGGGGCGCTAAAAACATCGTCCAACAAGACCACGTCAGAAGAATCCATCAAACTTCGGGCCAAGGCCACACGTGCCTCAGCAGTTGCGCGGCGGAGTTCTGGCAACCCTCACGCAAGTGAGAACCTCCGGAAACACTATTATGTTCAATCAGCACGAGCAACTTCGCCCAGTAGAAGGCCAAAGTATGAACGGTTCAACAAGAAACTTTCAAAATTAATCAAAATTAATAGGTTCGCTGCAAGTGTGATAGCACATGCTCCCGTTGGTAGCAAGGGCGTGTACGTTGTTGAGTGCTTCTCCATCAGCCGTAATCCTCAACCCCAAATAGTCAAGTGGGTGGGAATAGAACATCATATCCACTTTTACAACTACTCCTCCGACTCCTACTCTTACCGCTAGCAGCATTACTGACGGCTGCAACAAACACCACAACGACAACGACAACTACCACCACATGAATACATGCTTGTTGTGGGGTTGACTCTATTCACTCTCCCTCAGTTCTTTGCTAGGAGGGGCCCTGTATTATTGCAATTTATGCTCTTGGTGTCGGTCCAAAGCCTCTGCGCACGAGCTGCTTTCTGTCCTCCTGAGATGTTGATTCCCTTCCTCGCAGGTGACAAGGAAAGCTGGTCAGTTCCACAAACGGCTGGTACCGATCTTGCCCAAATCGAACCGTAATTCAATTGTGCTAAACTGAGATTGGGACAATGTTGTCCAGCATCCCAGAAAGAGTTTTGTGCTGAAACACTCAATGACACAGTACCGGCATCAAGCACCCTCAGCCACCGGTGGCGACTACTACTCAGAATGCAAAAAAACAGCCTATATAAATAGGTTCCAAGCCACCTCAACGGCCCCACCACCCCAACGACCAAGTCTTGCAAGACCAGTTTCGCCCCGATCTCTGTCTGGTCACCAGCAGGCAAATTTCCGAGATCCACTTGCAGTTGTGCTGATTGCACGGACTGGTCGTACTGATGATCCTGGTGTTTCAGCAAACCTCTTCTTGTGTGAAACGCAAATGCTTGTCTGGAGACCAACATGTGCCGAACAAAATGTCAAGGTATGTCAAGGTAATAAATCGAACATGTTACTCCAAATGTGCCGCTCAACTACCGTAGTCGTTTCCGGCGGCATCATTGCAATATAGATTCAGAACCATATGACGTGCCACCAAAATCACACGCCCCTACTACATCCTTCCCGCATGGTCCTCTAGACATCTCAAAACGCAAACATGAGATGTTGAAACAGTGATAGGCAAATGTATGTAATCCCTTTGCACGTGTCTTATTAAGTATGAATTCCTTTGGAAACCATGTACATGTATCTACTTGGGGACCACATCTTTTTTTCGCCCCCGGAGGAGCTCCGTGTCTGCCTGTCGGAAGCAGCAAATATTCTCATAGACGGAGGCTGACATAATCCAGGGCCTCACCGTGAGGATGTCAAATGGGCCAAGAAGTGGCAGTTTGTGCGTCAGGGGTCAGAGGGCTAGAGTAAGTTGAGGAGGCAGCTTGAGATGGGAGAGGGTGAACCAAAGGTAGCAAATCTTTCACATCCGCATTATCGCTGGTCTTGCAGTACACGAGTCAAAGCTCTGTTTGAACTCCTGTTCACTCCTTGACTGTGACCCAAACAGCGACCGCTCGGCAAAAAATTGATCCAGGGGCCCCCCTGTCAAACAGAATCCCTTCTTACAGGACCAAACCCAATGCATAATCCCAACTCCGGATTGTAATACATTTTTGCTAAAATTGAAGCTACCTTTCGTGATAAACAACAGTTAAAAAAACAATGCCTTTTTGAGGAAGCTTGTGACTTGTACGTGATGCTCTTGTGACCCTATATATACGTTTACAGACTCTCATCATCTTTCATCTCACCTCAGCCCGCAGCCCGCAGGTTTCTTTTGTCCAAGACTCTCCTGGCCACACAGGGCCTTGCGCCCTCCGCACTGAACCAACCCCGAGGTGGTCAGTTCCCTCAAAAGGCCCAGGACCAAGGTGGATTTCCCGGAGCCCACAGGACCTGAGCGAACACGTCGTTCCGGGTCACGGGGTCGTGCACCTAACACACCCCGCCCCGCAAGAAGAAGCATCCACGTAAATGGACAGTCTACATTGTGGCACAAAATATCACAAAATGCATCAGTCCGGACAACATGTGAATTACATGGTCTTCCTATGCGGTATATGACGAACTGGGGCATTCCTACACATGCGAAAATACCATAGGGGAACATGAACAACTACGCAGCCTGCTTCTTAAAATAACAAAAGGATCCCCCACAAGCGGAGCGAGTACCATGGCGCGGACAAAGTGCTCATAACGGGATGTGAGAAGAACAGCCAATTTGACCAACCTCCTAGATGTGATTCTCCATCTTGACAAAAAAGGATAATCATGGATTATCTATGTCAAGTATTGTTAAGTGATCATGAGTCAACTTCCAACTTAAGTACCTTCGACAATCCGACATCGACATTGGATTCAGGGCAGCGTGCGCCTATCATCCGCGTGCGTTTCGCATGTGTGTGACATGCGCTGAAAACTTCAGGCCTTCAGGCGCTAAGGCAGCCAGTTCATTGTTCTTCCAAAAGCTGGGAAAAGACTGGTGAGGATTTGGAACGAAGATTGGGCGTACTTCCTAGAAGCACTCCTTGAATCCTTCAACATGTCTCCTTTGCATACTCCTAATCTACTCCTACCCCTGCCCGGCACAACACTGAGAAATGCAAGATCTGAGGCAAGAGCCACACACAACACAAAGATCTCCAGGATGCAAGGTCAGGTTCAAAGGCCCCAGCTGAAAGGCGCGGCCCTCCTCGCGTGATGCACTCTGTAAGTGACAGATGTTGGCTCCAGCGGCATACCCCTCTCCGCCCAAAGGCATCCTCAATAAAGTTGAACATCTACAAATCCATACAACACTTGTGCAGGGCGGGTGCATGAGGGTTCGAAAGGCAGGGATGGCCCGGCTCTGTCCCCCGACGAGCTGGGAGCTGCTCGGAGCTGCACCTCGTTGCCACCACCTCGACGAAAGGTGACCTGGAGATGGCCGAGGGAAGTCGCTTATATATATATATATAAAATATAATATTGTTAAATAAATATTCTTGAGCCAAAGCTTCCTTTCGTCATGCATGCCAAAAACGGCACAACTGCTTGTTCATGTGGCATGCCAAACCCATCTTGAGTCATCTTGAGGTGTTGGTTCCGTTCTTCGCACTGGCCACCATGCCTCCTTCAGGATCACCTCGCCCGGCGTGGAAGCCATTCCATCGATGGGCTGTCGAGTTTCATCCTCAGCAAACTGCCGGCTTGATGAAAAATGGGTAGCTCAACAGCTGGAAAGTTATGAGCGGTCCAGTCGAGTCAAACAAAGTCTAAGCGAGGAATGCATCGTGGAATCCGCCGCCGACGGAAAAGCCGCGCCAAGTGTCGATCAAATGCTCCCGCTTCTGCAGGAATTGCTGCAGCCGCAAGCACCTCGGCGTCACCACGTTGTTGTGCCAAGAGGTTTAGCACCCTTTCTTACTGGATCTTGATCTTACCGACTAAGTTGATGTAAAATATGCTTGTCTTTTCATAAGAGACATATTTGAGACTATTAATATATACTTATAATTATAAGATCATAAAATAATGAAGTGACGAAGTAAAACACTTGCCGCACACATCCTGAAGCCAGCTTTCAAATTGAAGGGGCATGAAGAGTCATTTGATATGCTGCTCCAGGGTTTTCGACTTTGGGCCCCGAAAGCTACACCAGGGCCTGGCTGGCCTGGCTGTTGCCTGGCTCCCTTCAGGCAACAGGTCCGCCCTGCAGCGCCGTCCGACGTCCCGAAACGACAAAGGCACGCAGTAGTGAGCTCCGCCATGCACGAGAAGGAGCCGGGGAGCAAACCTCATTTCTCATGCGACCAGCTGTGACAGGAGGATGTTCACATGTTGCCCGTGAGAAAACACAATGCAGGTGTCTATCGACAGAAAGCCTCATGATCCATGTCGTGTTCCAACATCCATGTCATTACAAGCTGCTCATCATGATCTGCAACACACGCAAAACGATCCTGGGCAAAGCTGGCGGAGCCGGGCGGAGCTTTGAAGAAGTGGCTAATAATGGCCCCTCAGAGGTTAAGGACACCCCTTGGGGCACAGGGATACCCTGGCCAAGCAAAGGTTGGGCTTCGTGAGGTTCTGGTTGCAACCCTCAAACCCGGCTGCAATCGCGAATGGAAGCCTGCACGGTGTCCTGGAAAGGTGTGCACTGTCAGTTTTCACGTAGAGCCTTGTAGACTATATAATGCTAACTGATACGACTTACTTCTTGAAAGGTGTGATTATTGAGCGTCCCACACCTGCCAAGCGAATTGGACTTGTTTAAAATGACTCGTGGCTCAAGAACAATGACAATATAACATTGACATATTTATGTATAATATTCTACACACAGCACATGCAAAAATGCATCTTATAACTTATAACTCTTGCAGCATTGCAAGGAAAACAGGTGCAGCGAAGAATTGCTACACATGTGAGAATACAAGGCAAACTAGGCAGATCGGGTTGAAGGGTTGGTGTAGCTGACTCGGTTCTTACAGAATCTCTTCGTAATAATGGTTTTGATGGACTTGGACTCCCCACCGCATAGACCCAAACATCAGCATGATGCAGCCGACCAGTGCCCGGTCGCATGGCACAAGCTGTCCACACGGTCCGACAGGTTTGACAGGTTTTTCTGCCCTCCCAGGCACCGGAGATGTCCCTTTGGCCACGGCTCAAGGAGGGGAAGACCACCTCCACCGTCATCTCGCCACCCAGCAAGGCGTAGGTGGAAAACCTGCGACCGTTGCAGTCTCATCGGTCTCGTCGCTCTCATCGCTCCGTTGACTCAGCCGCTGGCATGACAAATCCCACGATCGAGGGGGACATAATGCCCATCATAGCGTTGACCTCGGTGGACTAGCGTTTCGCAGCACTCGTCGGTAGAATCACAGATCTAACTCACGTTTCGGGCAGCCAACTGGGGTATCGTCTTTTCATCGATCCCCTTGGAGAAGCAAACAAAGAACGGTCATGGAACTGCAGTGAGGGAACACTAATCAGCTTGCTTGGCAATGCAAAATTGTTGGCATTTCATAGTATGGTTGATCCTAACTCCTGCCACACAAACAACAAAATTTGGTACCTACAGCAATTACAGAAACGCTTGGAACCAAAGAGGCTCCACCACCTTAGGACTTGGAAAGCCTGCTCTTGTTCTTTGGTCATGTCTGCAATGAGATCTCCTGCGACCATACACCCGAAGCCCAACCCACAGCAGCCCCTCCATGTCACCATGAATGCTGGGCCACATTATGTCATAAATATATAAGAATAAGAACTTACTCGCCCATGTTCCCGCGAAATGTCCTGTCACCTTGAGCCCCTCTCGGCCGCATTTTTGTCTTCACAGAGAGCGCTCCTTGACCTTCTGCATGTAAGCCTTGCGGCATGCAGGGTCCGGTGGAAATCCTAGTTCTAGACCCCCCAAATCAATGGGGTGCCCGTTGCATGCACATGCTTGGGGAGGAACGCCACTGAACTCCCATCCGGCAAAATAAATGCTTATGGTCCTTTGATGCAAAACATTGGTAGATATTGTTGGTAGATATTGGTAGCACCTTTGAATTCGGCACTTAACCAGTCAAACGGAACTGTGCAAGAGCATGAGGGTAAGAAGTGGTAAGCCGTCAGCAGGAGGCAACAGTGGTCGCGGTCGTATCACGACCCGGTCGGAGGAAGAAGGTTAACATCCACGAGATCAGCAGGAGTTGAGGCCAAAATAAAAAATGTCCCATATATATAACTTCCTGGTTGGTGTTTTCAACCTGCACTTGAAAAATATTAGTCAGAGGGTCCAATCAACCCCAAGTAAGAGTTGAAAATAAACATATCCTTTCCACGCACTCCTATGTGCACCATGCGCACACCCACCTCACCGGTGCCAGAACTGACCAGGCTGAAGGCCGGTGGCCTTGTGGTACTCCTCTGCCTTCTCATCTTTCTGCTGGTTGAAGTCTTCAAGTTGTTGGAATGCTTTCTGCTTCTCCAAGACTTTGCCTCAAAGAACCACCCCTTCAGATTCTTCCATGAAAACCTGTTAGTCCGACGAGCCCCGTGGGAGTCAGTTCCTTTCTTTAGTGTAGGTGGTCTGCACAAGCAGCTACACGTAGCATTCAAGTGGAATCAGCCATTCGTGAATTCCGAAGGGTGCCGCATGCTGCCAAAAGGCTCAAAGCTGGCGGGTATTGGCCCTGACAGTGCCAACTCCCAGGAGCATCGCACTTCCAGTTGTTGGGATCGGCAGCCCATGCCTTGGACTCGTCCGAAATATTCAGCACCTGATCCGGCTGCTCAGTTTCCAAAAGGGATGTCTGGTCCGGCTTGGTTGGGTGGAAGGGGAGCCAGTGATGGCGGCCTTGGATGGCCTTGTGCCACTTGAATGGAGGCTGACCGTTGAGTAGGTTTTGATTTGGCTAGGACCTTCCTGTTGACATGCTGAATGGATATCCATAAGAAGTGTAGGGCCAGGGTGTTCCTCCCAGACCCTGACTGAAAGGTGCGAAAGCAAAAGCTTCCGACTCATTACTCCCACGTGCACTTCATCGGTCAACCTGAAAGATCCTGCACACATGTTGACCTCCCGTTTCTTCAGTTGTTTCGCTTGTTCCTCCCACTTTCCCTCCCTGTCAGCTCCAGAATCCAACGAAAAACATCGATCGCCCAGGCCTTAAAGATCCGGACCAGCCCATATTGCGAGGTATAGGCCTCTTCGAAAAGGGCGCCGTCCGTTTGAACCTCGCCCATCGGGTCATGTGCATAGAGCTTCCACAACAAAGACCGGCTCATCATCTCCGAGGGCTCCCCCGTCTGGCGGTTCCGGTGGAACTTGCTGCCTGAACGGCAGGACTGTCAGGCCAGGACTGTACCACGGGCCCACCACAAAAATTGATTTGTCATTCATGGACGTGCTCAACAACTGGGACTTACAGTCAAACTACCCCCGCGCGTGCAAGGTGTCTCAGTACAACAGGTGGATGGTCACAAAGCTTCATGATGCTCCGGCAGCTAAACATATAATACAGTACTAAGAAAGGCGATTGCGCCAACAACAAATATCAAGAGAATCCATGGAGGCGCCTCCCATGATCATCCCTTTTGCTATCACATTAGGGGCAATGATCAGTGGCCAAAGCCTGCGCACACCTCATTCACAACCGAAGCAGCTTGCAAAAGGGATGTTCGCCCCAGACTCCCAAACCTCAAAAAACCTCTCAGGCCAGGCAGCACAGAGGGTCACCTGGACAAACGTCCTCGTACACGGAGGCCGCGATGCGAGCCATGTGGGAACTCTTGGCAATGTCATCCCCATAGTCACCCGCCCAAATGAGCACGTAGTCTGCCAGGTGTCGGATCACCTGTCACAGTATTCAAGCGTGTTGGACCTTCCAAGGCTCGAAGTAAAAGTCGCGGTATCCATCAAAAAAGGTTGTTTTTGTTGGAAACTTCTGGTATGGTTCGCATCTGGGAGAACTATAACCCAAGCGACATCAACCCAGGTAGCGCGGCCATGTCTGGCCCGAAGAGATCGGTGAGAGATTCGGCACCCGAGAACAAAACGGGCGACCGAACAAACCAAGATCACTGAGAAGCTGTAACCGTAACCAATCGGTTGTTTAACACTAAATTATATAATTCAAACATATTCAAACGATATTCAAACACATAAACTGTAAACACTTGTAAACACTTGGTTCAAGTTGACGGGGATGCGGTTGTCTGATTCAAACTGTAGACTAAAAAGCCACCCTAGACCCTGGTTCCATATGTCGTGGTAACGAGTTTCCGGTGGTGCAAGCGACAGCTCGGGCCATATATCATTCCACTGCCGTGAACACATCTGGACAGACCCCCTGCCCTTCAAAAAGGGAACCTCCCCGAAAAAGGACCAGTGGCCGGTAGCCCTGTGGTCACCCTCTCCACCGGTCATGCTGTTCGGGGCCTCGTGTGCTTGCCGTTCGGGGCCCGTCAAGCATCGACCGATCAGGGCAATATGCTCGTGGTTCCAGGTATTGCCATCGGCCAGCGTGGTCCGATTGGTGAGGCCATTGATCTGATAGCCATAGTCCCACCAGGCCATGATGCGGGTGTCTTCAGGCGTGTGATCCCGGAGCCACCAATATGACCTTTGTTCTGGTGTCGGTTCGGAACCACTAAGCGAACGTCAAAGCACCAATATGTGATTTTGCAGTGGCCTTACAAATATCCAGAGTTGTATTTGATATCGTTCCAGTCATTTGTGGAACAACCACCGATACGAGAAACATTTAAACACGCTAATTACATATTAACTTTGAACTGCAGTTTTGTTTGGGGACTCCCGGTAGTCGTCCATGAGGATCTCCTGTCCCTCTTTGTTGCGGCGCTTGACGATGATTGAGGCCTGAGATAGGCGCTCGGCCACGGCCCAGCAGTAGTTCATGAACTCCATGCCGCAAATCATGAAGGTCAAAAGCATCAGAACCTGAGTTGCCAGTGGCATGTGTCAGCGACGTTCAAACGAGAGTCTTTCAAACTGGCCGGCCAAGGGGCATCATCCCCCTCTCGCAAGGGGCCAGGAACGCTTCCAAAGGGGAGACCGACTACTTGGATCATACGTCTGTGACAAGTGCCCTCTTTGTTCGGGAGCTCCAATTGAACGTCAGGTCGCTCAAAGCAACTATTGTCGGATCCTAATTAGTCAAGTGGGAGGGAATACTAACACATAATTTGCTAAAATATTCCAACACCCTTCATAATTTAGTGGGAGGCAAGAGTTAAAGAATAAACAACAAAAATCACCCAGGGTGTTTTTTTGGACTACTACTACTACTACTACTGTTACAACAACAACAACAACTACTACTACTACTACCACCACCACCAATGGTACTATTTGTGTTTGTGGCGGGGATACTATTCATACTCCCTGGACCCGTTTACTATTTAAGATCCAACATTACCGAGCAACAGGAAACGGCTTCCTTTCGGCTGATTGGCTTAAAGATGCTTAAAGGGATTTGTCATCTACAGCCGCAGTGTCTCAGCAGTTTCCCTGTGGCACCAGTCGCTCCACTACCACCCGCAGTTGTCACTTGAAATGCGCCCCTCAGCAGTACAAGATCAATGATAATCACGACTTCATACATATAGTACAGCACCTCAAAATCTTCAAACACAAACCTCAACACCCAACCACTTGTTGGGAATTACTGCCGATTTCTACCTCCCTTTGTTCTACGTACAATGAAATTGTGATATAAAGCCTTTCATGGCCCCTCTGACCCATGCCACGAAACTGCTGAAGCCTTCCTCTGCCACCTGGCTTCGTGGTATGCCTCCCACAAGGGGCCTTTGAACCTCTGACGGTGTTCGCAAAGGAGGTGGGCGGAGCTGCCCGAGGGCCACAAGGAAACCACACCGCTGGAAATGAGTGTCAAAGAAAGGGCAGCTGAAAAGAGCACCAAGATCCTCAACTTGTCAAATGAACATCTTGTTGGACTTGCCGTCGGAAAAATTGAACAGATTTCTGGAATGAATTGAAGGTCAGGAGATGAGATCTCCTTGTGGAGATTCAGTCACCCAGTTAGCAAAAAAACAATAGACCATAGTCCGACTGATGGGACGCATGTGGCCCCCCTCCAGAGTACACCTTCCTGCCCCCGTTTTCGCCAAGCGTGTATTGTAAAACTTGATGGTTTGAAATGGGTCATCATGGAAATTCATGGAACCAACACCATGCACCTGTGGATCAACCCTGGTAATTACCCTGGTAGACTTCTTGTGCCACCAATGAGATGGTGGGTCAACCCTCCGGGATGAAACGGTTTCAAGAAGCTCGTCGTAGATCTCCTTCAGAACGACTGTCAAACCCTCGGCTTTGGCCTTTTGCAGTTCCTTGTGTCCTTTGTGCTTCGGCTTTTCCTGACGGCTGGCCAACTACTGGCCACCCCCCCCCCGGAATAGCCATTCCCCAAGCTTGGTAGAGTGCACATTGGTGAACGCTCTATCTTTCCATCTAGGCAATCATTCTCGCCTTTCCATTCAAGAGGTTTGTTATGTTTTTTAAGCTGCGAAGATTCAATGAACTATATAACTGCCTTCGAGCAGGCCCAAGTGTCTCATTGTGTAGCTGGTCTGATGCATTTTGAATTAAACTGGACTTTCAATTGCAGCCCCTTGGAGGGAACAACCAACCTCTGCAGATGCATAGGGATGATGCCGCTGTGCTTCATGATCCTACGAGTGCCAGAATCTTGATCGCCTTGCGTCTCAAAGGCCATCCCTTCTGTCTCAATTGGCACTGTGGCAAACGGCTATATAGCTCTTCTTGGCATTCGGGCTGGACTCGCAACAAACACATTGACAGAAACAAACACGCACCAATACACACACAAGGTCCCTGTCTGGGTGCATGTGAGTGTCCATCCTCTGACCCCGGATCACATGTCTTCACTTGTCTTCACCACCACTGGCGCCGCGCCGCGCGTCCTCGTTCTGCGTGGCCGGCACCGGTGCCTCCTCTGGCTGTGTGAGTTGATGGAGCGCCCAGCGCAGCGTCTTGGCCAAGGCAATGCCGCCAAGAGCTGCGGCGGTGGGGCCCAAGAGGAGCAAAAGACGGTTCATCTTGGAGGAAAAATAGTAGGTGATGCCAGCATAGAGCAACCTCAGAACTAGGGAGCCTGATTGAGGTGAACATCCCACAAAATATGCTTGAACCCCAGTAATTAAACAAGTTGGGTTCCACTCTTTGGTTATCAACGTGTTCGAGGAGCTAACTTGGGCTGCACTCTGAGCTGTGCTCTGCACTCCATGCTGTTCTGGCGAAACTTGAAGTGGATTGCTGTGGCAGGGTCTGGGCGACTCAAAGCCTCTCAAAACTATATATATTGACTCACCGCTAGTCAATGCACTAGGCTACTCAAGGCCGCCATGCGTCCGTGTGTTGCTCTATGGGTAGTTGTCTAGCATTTTCCAGTCGTCCAGGGAATCATCTCAATTAGGTACCAACCCCACGGTCCATGAACAAGGACTACAGCCTCAAGGAGTAATCAAGCTCTCACGCTTTTGAACCTGAGTCTAGTAGCTTTAGCTGGGTTGGTTTCAGTTTGAGTGCTTCACATGTTCTCATGCATTCGGGGTGGACCTTCCACTCAGCCAGGGTCAACAACACCCAATGCAAATAGAATAGAAGGGAACTTAAGAGAACCCTGAACTCCTTGCAGGAAGACAAACCATGTGCAAACCTCCCCACAGGCACATCTCCACAGCTATATATATATATATGTGATATAGATGCTGCTGGGGCCTGATAACAAGTGGGCATTGCGGCTCAAGCCACAAGAAGTTCCTGGCTTCGCTCATCTCGAAGAGTGAAATCAGAAAACCCAGCGGCGCCATGGTGCACATGTGATGAAAGAACTGCCAGTATGCTCGTGGACTAGTTGCTTGGTGTTCAGCCACAGAGTCCACTAATGGATTGCCAGTACCTGCTGCAATAGACAAGCCATCCAGCCCCAAGAGCTTGCCAAAAAGTTCAATAGGTAATCTGATTCAAAATCCAGCATTTCGATAGTTTGTTGTTTGCATCTTCTCAACTCTGGACTGGACATCTAAAAACCACTAAGAACACTTAGCATCTTGGCAGTGAAACCGTGAAACCCGCTGCACGGCCCCTCGACCCACGATCCCTACACGACCCCTCTCGACGGAATGATGACCCCCTTATATATAGAGAGATGGTGTTTTTTGTCCGCGATCTCGACACCAAGGTGCGGTGTTTCACAAAGAGACCTCGCACTCGACTGGAGAGGGGTGCAAAGTAACCCAGTTGGAACAGCATAGCTCCCAGCAATGCTGCCACAGCCCCGCAAACGGCGAAAACTCTGAAGCGCAACAATTGGAACTCCTCGAGCTAAGCGATTTAAGCATGACGAGTCAAGCTTTGTTGGGAGGGTTTGTTTTGTATTAAATTATGTCCCTTAGCATGTTCCCTTATCATGATTCATCCAGTTTCTATGGTTAGTCGGTTAGTCTCCTTTTTTGGCCGCTCAGGTCATTTTCTTCGCCGCGTGCACCGTGGCTACCACGAGCGGGTGCGCGTGTGTCCTTCGCGGGTAGACGCCGTTGCCAAGTGGACAGGACCTCAAAGATCTGCACGGCCACGAACTGCAGCAACGGTGCCACTTGCTCCAGGCTCCTGACGTCAAAGGTGCACCACGTATTTGCGCTCGATAGAACGACAAAAGGCCGCGTATGCGGAGCGAGAATGCGACGGTCTCTCGGTTTTCCAAGCGTGTGACACCCGCCGTGAGACACCTAAGACAATTTCAGGTTGTTGGCTGTTTGATTGCTGTTTGTGTATGTTCACCTGTGTTTCTCCTTGTGACACGTGTGTGTGCTTACCTGCACTGCGTGTGGTTATTCGATGTTATTCGCCTCACTGAGTCTTTGCCCCTTGAATACAGGTGGAATCTGTCACCGGGAGGAGCAACAGGAAATTGTGCACAAAACCATGGAACGCAAAAAGGAAAACCATTCAAATGTCTGAATGAGGCCTCTGCGCAACACCTGTGAATGTCTCAGTGCCTTTGATATGTCTTTCGCAGCATCTAGAAAATGCGCGTGACCAAGTTGACGCTCGTGCACATACAAAAGTGCTTCTTGCAACAACCCCATCGATACCATCTCTAGGGCGCTTGCCCATGCCAATCCATATCCGGCAAAGAAAACGCATGACGACACACACTCATACTACAGCCGGATGTACAGTGCATCACTGTAAACTTGCATGATGTCAATATATGTCAACGCACACACACAATGTCCCTCTTGGGAAAGAAACCATGTGCCCCTTATGTGCCCCACACGTGCCCCGTGTCCACTCCTCTCGTCTGAGCCGAGGGGCCTCAAAGGTGTCCATCCCACGACGGGCACTTGGACAGCTAGGAGCGTGCCCAGCAGGAAGAAAAGGCTGTAGGAACGATGGATCCGGCCTAAGCTGCTTCAGGCCGACCTCACGGGTGGTTCTGGCTCAACACCTAGTACACAACAGAATTTTAAGATGAATTGTGTAAGTCACTGAGTCGTTCTATCTTCATGTCATTCCCTTGATCAAATCTAAATGTTCTAAACTAAACGGAGCTGAGGACCGGCCCAATGAGTGCATTTGAACCTTTAGTGTTCTGTGGGCATTGCATCACCCCTTAGCATGGAATCATCATGGAAACCATCACTAAGGGTGTTTGTAACATGGCAAGCTCGGCTACAGTCAGAAATCTGAAAGACTTTGTCAAACTCAAGCATATAGTGTATATATATATACTATTTTTATATGCCCCAGTTTCTTCTCCCTCTGTGGTTGTCTGATGTTGTCGTGAGTTCGCCTCACCTCTCTCTAATCCAACCAGGTCAAAGTATAGTGATCGTTGAAGGGTCATTATGTACATGTTTTATCCCTCATCAGGGAACCGAGAAGGCACATGAAGGTTGACGTTTCGCCAATGGGATGCTTTTCGAAAGTCAGACTGATGAGATAAAGTCAACGTGCCAAACCGTCACTAAGTTGATTAACACCATTCTATATCCCAGCTCCAGGTCCAACAAAAGCCAAGTGAATAGTGCAGTTTCGCTGCCGGAAAAACTCTGAATTACGGGCCAAGATGGCCCCATGAATGAGAAGAGGGGTTGAATACTGACCCCAAAACACACAAGATCCTTTTAGGGATCCGGGATTGGCCTCAGCCCGCGCAAAACAAAACGGTGCCAAGGACACTAGAGTGTCGCCGCAACCTGGGTCTTCGACTCGATGTGGCGTACCGTCGGGGAAGAAAAGGACCATTGGCCGATCAATGCAACACAGGGGCAGTTAGAACAGTTGGGTGGAACAAGGCAAACGTTTTTATTGGGGGGGGGGTTGGTTTGAAGTAATAATATTGGGTCTATATCCTCTCCCTGAACTTCCCTGTAACAATGGATGATGATGGTTAGCTAAGGCCTTTCTCCATGCCTTTCTCCATCATAGTGAGAAGTGAAAGTTTTGTTTGATCCACTGTGCAGGTAGTATATGACACCCCCAAGTAATATACCTTGTTTATACTATAGATCTTATAGACCCCGGGAGTAACCTAACGGCGTCAAGCAGCATCAAGCAAGCTGCATGACAGGCGATGATGTTCACAACATAGACATAGCCTCCCCAAGTGGCCACCATACAGAAATAGGAGAAACCTGCCAGCAATGCCCAGGGCCAGGAGTTATCGTTCCGCAAAGAACGGCACCAGAAGTAGAAGGTCGCATTCATGAAGGTGATGGCCATGCATTCGTTGTCAAAGCCACCTGTCCAAAGATTTTGCGAAACAACACCTCCTGCGTCCCTAATCAGTCCTTGCAACTCGTCCTATGCATCAGTTTGGGCCTCACATGGCCTCACCAACAGGTCCACAAACGTCCACACACATGCTGTTGACAATGGAGTCGGGTCAAAACCTCCTATGTCCCCAAGAGCCACCCTCCCCAAACATGGCGGCCATACTGGCCATACTCCAAAAAGAGCCAGCCATCCGGCTCACAAAATCGGCTCGCGGCCGAGCTGACCCGGCCAAGCCTGCCACCGAGCGCATCAAGTGTGCCGGTAGAATGGACACCACCAGCATGGCGCACACCGCTGAATCCACACAGCGGGTACATTCGAAGGTCCAAAGCCTGGACCGGAGCACCACCGGAGGGGCACCAACTCAGCTGAGCGACCGGCAAAATAATGGGTCATTTGGTGGGTAGTTTTAAGGCAGGTATTGTTTTTTGGATTGTTATCGTTTCTGTTATGTTCATCAATTATGTTTGCATTATTTTTTTGGGGAGGTATCGTCTACATGTAAATTGCTGTGGAAGGTGACTCTGCAAATGATGAGTGGCAGAAGTAGTAGTAGTAGTTGTTGTTGTTGTTAGTAAGAAGTAGTAGTAGTAGTAGTAGTAGCAGTAGTAGTAGTAGTTGTTGTTGTTAGTAATAAGTAGTAGTAGTAGTAGTAGTAGTTGTTAGTAATAAGTAGTAGTAGTAGTAGTTGTTGTTGTTGTTAGTAATAAGTAGTAGTAGTAGTAGTAGTAGTAGAAGTAGTAGTAGTAGTAGAAGTAGATTAGTAGAAGTAGTGGCAGTAGTAGTGGCATGTAAGCGGATAGGTGGTTTCCGAGGGCATGCAAACCTATGAAGTGGGTATCGTTTGGTATCGTTTTGGGTCTCGGTCAAAACCCATAATTGTTTCCCATCGAAGTAAGAGCAAGGAAAATATGCAAAAACAAAATGGGACGTCCAACTAGCATGGCAAACATTCAAACCATATGGAAAAACAACTTGGACATACGCCGTGTCGAGTGTCAACAGTGTCAATAGGCAAAGATAGATTCCACGATGTGTACCGTCACAGCTAGGCATCGTCTTTTTAAAAGAACATTATCTTTTTCCTTTTTGAAGAAACGTTAGTGCCGGCCTTTAGCACTTTGCTCGGCTGTTGGGTCCGGTTGGGTCCGTCTTCGGCGACAGCTGGTTTATGGATGTTGAGGTCAAAAACAAAAAATGTCAACTTTCCTTCAAGGTCTATCTTTTTGTTGCTGACTCCTGCAATCTCCTACATGAGTGTCTGCCAAAACTGCTGGGTAGTGGAGTTCTTTCCAGGTTATTTCACGACCACTCTCTCCTAAATTGGCGGCCACTGGTTTTGGCGTTGCTCACATGACCGACGATGTGCCGCGGTCGAGGAGCCCCACGAAGACGGTCGAGGCGACACCAAACCAGGCAGGGATGAACACGCAAACGTCGTGCAAAGACATCTCCTGCTGCAGAAACTCGAGGATCCGCCAAATCCACACGGCCGCAAATTGCATTCCGGGATAAATGGTCGTCCCCACCGGCCGTCCCAAGGGATACCAAACGGTATGGTCGAACCACTTGAAGAAGCGCTCAGTGCCATGCTCAGCCAAATACTCCGCTGCGCGGTAGTTGAACCATGGGTCAAACTCATGGATGACACGGCCATAGTTCTGCACGGCATACAGGCGGATGTTGTAGGCACTTGCCAGCGAGACCACCAGCAGGTTGATCCGCATCACAGCCAGGGCTGCTTGTGACAGACTCATGACTCATCACGAGGGTTGGGTCTCCATACTACCGAATCATCTTGACCTTTGACAAGCTCAAACTGCAGCTGATTCAACATAGGTCAAAATCGTCAAACTGCAATGCCATGCTTCTTTCTTTGGACACGCGCTTGCGCGTCAAGCGGCACTCAACATCGTATATGTAAATATCTAGACTGACACATGCCGGTAGATTGAGGGAATGGGGCGACATCGAGATAGGACCATTTAGCTGGCTGACCCTCCGATCACGATCGGGCCATCTGGCACATCCGTCCGATCGGGCTCGTTGGACCCCCTGAGGCTTCAACCCCCTTCCACATCCTCAGCGTGGGCATCTTTCAAAACCAACACCGTCATCCCATGTAGGGCATCAAAAGAATCTGTCCGCAACACAGTCAAGAGGACATCGATGAACAAGAAACATCTGCACTGGTTAGTTGGAGACTCTGTTGTTTTTAAACAAGCACCCTGGCACATGGTCATCATCAGCGTTAAGTACGGGATTCTTGCAGGTGGAGATGGCTGACAAGTGCTTGTCAAGACCACCTGCTTTGCGAATCAAGGCCCATGAACAAGGACCCCAAAAACGCTTGGTAGCATGTTCCATCGCTCACCTGTAGCAAAACAGGTCTGGTGTCTATCTTGAAAAAGATTTGACAAGTACCGTACCTGTCAAACCTATCAGACCTATCCGTGTTATATACAGTAATGTTGTGGCTTGGATCGAGAGACGTGCTCTGACCGCATCCGAGCGTCAACACGATCTTGTTGCATCGGAGCTCCTGGGCTCTGACCGCAGCCAGGCGAGCTTCCGCATTGGAGGTCCAACCATTCCTGAGTGCGAAGTATTCGATCAGCTAGCAGCTAGCAGAATGGGGGCATGGTGACTGCTGGGGATGTCTGTACCGGGGGGGTCTGAATGGGCAAACATTGCAAAACCAACATTGGAATCCTGACTAATAAAGCAGAATGATTCAATGGTTGGAACTTCCGCGAAGCAGTCTTAGTCAGCAGCAGGTTCATGATTTTCCGTGGCTCCTTGTGAGCAGATTGATAGGGGGATCAACATGGCAACCCTGCACTTAGGTCCTTCTGACCCCCCTTCGAAACAAAGTATCAAAGTCCACCTGGACAACTGAACGAATTGCAGCTATCCATAGAGTCCGTTGAACACTGCCAGACATTCACAAATCGCGGGCATGCTGAGAGGGAAAACAACTTCACCCAGCAGTTTCAAAAAAGGCTCTGGACGTCGAAGCTTGTGCGCCGGATTGCGCCGGTTCCTTGATATTCATGTATATCAAGTGAGATTGACATGTGTTGACTCATTGTTGACCAACATCTTCCGACCCTTCAGCAGTCTCCCCATCCGCCCCTTCGCTCTCAGGTCCGGACATCTTCCTGAGCGCCGGGGAAGGTTCCCACCCCGTGTCCCGGGCATCGGAATCCCAGATGTCTGTCGACAGGAGCTCGTCATGAGAGTCTCATAGGGGGATCGATCTCCAAGACATGCGACATCATGAGACATGTGAAAGAACAATGTATGTATGTATGTATGTATGTATGTATGTATGTATGTATGTATGTATGTATGTATGTGAGGGAGACCCTCCCAAAGACCAGGAAAAAGGAATACAAATAAACATTGGTTGGGTGCCCCCGGTATGAAACACACACACCCATATCCCTTCAAGACCTCATTTCACACAGAAACAGTTGTTCACTGAAGGAAAGGACCAACTTGGCAACTCGATCAACAACAACAACAACAACAACAACAACAACAACAATGGCTGCATCAGTCAGTGGGTGCACGTCAGGATTCCTCATGACTGTAACTCGACGATGGACCTGTGGAGCGTTGGAGCTTGGTGGGTCTAGGGATTGTCCTAAGGAGCCACCAGCTTGCCACCGGCTCGACATGAGATCAAGGGAAGACCCGTCTGTTCATGTTCGTTCCACTGCAAAGGAATGGCGTCAGTCCATGGCGATGTCAGGGCGTCGGGCTCAGAGTGGGACTGAGTTGGGGGAAGTGCTAGCACTTTGAGCGACAAAGTTCTGTTCCTGGGAATTGGGTCCTCCGCAAGCTCAAATGGATGTTGAGTTCATTTCTTGAGGGTTGACTGAGGGACACCTCGAGAAGCAATGAATCCTTTTAAACATTTGATACTCTCTGAGACTCTCTGGCTAGCAATCCCCCGCGGCCAAGTGGCAATACACGAATCCCATCAAAATACTGCCTTGGCTGCTTTGTGCCGGCCAAGAGCAACACCACCTTTGAAAGCTCTGCAAACCCATCGAACCCTGGAAGGCTAAGAAATTGATGCATTTCATCCAGTGTTGATCATCCCCAAAGCTGACTTTCGGCAACTTGACGTCGTACGTCGAAAACATCTTGCCTCACAAGCCCTGCACCCTCTCTCCATCGACATTCCCCGGGTCTTAACATGAAATCTGCCACACTCCCTGCAAGAATCCGGGAAGTATATAAAGCAACCCTGCTTTCAACGGCAGCTGTTCCACTTCAACGTTCCAAAAAGGATAAATAGTATGTCTAGGCTTCCACATAAGGCTGCCTAGATGCTCCAGCAGGTTGAGTCGAAGATCTGTCTCACGCAATGCCAAGCCTCAGCTCCCCGAAAGAAAAAATGCGGTCTGGGCATTTTCGCCAACAAAGGGTATGCACCTTCCCCGGTGCTTGAGAGTGGCCCGTTCGTGCTCAAACCCGGTCCATCAGTTCTTTGGATTGCCCTGGCCAGAATGAAAGACCCTGAAAAAAACAAAAAGGACTGCGTGAACAGCCTCATCGTTGCAAGTCAGCTTCCCCCACTTTGGGAAATCAAGTTCCTCGAAAGATCATGTCTCATGCACTGTAGGTCCAATGGGTGCGACGATATTATCAGCAAAGGGCCCAAACCTTGCTGGTTTCGCATGATGTTGGAGTCTCCTTGGAGCAGCCAGTCCTTCGGCCAACATACAAATACTTCAAGCGTCTATGATCTGAATGACCTCAAGCCAGGGTATCACTAGGCCATCTATGGCCATCCACTGTACACTCATCACGCCAGCTCCAGGGGGCCTTTTTCGGTTTAGTTGACGGAGGGTGCGACAGATCTTTGGGCGCGTGAGACGTCACTCTGGCAGGGGCGTTCATCCACCATCCGCGGTCTGCGATCCGCAGCTGCGCGTCAGGTGGAGGTCCCGGAGCCTTTGGATTTCACGAAGACGCCCATCACACCTGGGTCATTTTTCGTCAAATTGGGCGTCAGGTGTGTCACTGGAGGTCGCCTGGAGCGTTCGTCTTTGATCAGTTCCTAATTGGTGGTTTCAATATGTTTCAATACCCGGCGACTTGGAGGAAGTTGGGTCTACTTGGGTGCCGAGAGCAAAGCTGGTTAAACAGCCATTGACAATTCTAGATTCTAGGCATGCTGCATGTGTGAAACCTGACCCTTCTGGGCTTTGTGCAACATGATGTAGCTAGCAGCTATGGGCAGGCTGCTGTCCCAAGGTCGAGTCCAAGTAAGTGTTCATATATAGAAAGGTTTTCCACCGAAATGATTGCATGTTGATGCTGGCAACTCCTGGATATGGCCTTAAACCAACAATGTAAAAGAACAAACTCTTTTTCAGGGATCCGCTCCCCCATACTCCTCTCCACCTTTGCAGCTCTCAGCCACTGCCATCCGGAAGTGGATTGCCACAAATCGTCTGGATCGCCAAAAGGGCTTCCTCGGCCACGCCGAACTTCACATAGGCCGAGCCAGTGCAGCCGCCATACTCGTCTTTCGACACTTTGATGCTCTGAACCGCACCGAAGGGAGCAAACACATAATACAAATACCTGGGGCGAGCTTGAAGTCGACAAACCCACATCCAATGCACTTATTGTGCGACTGGAGGATGCTCTGACGGGATCTGACGGGGGGATAATATTTTTGAACCACTGATCAAACTGGTGAGGTCATGTCATGGAAATGGACGGTTTCCGACGGTTACCGTTGGGATGCAACGTTGAACAAACCAACCATGTCATCATGGCCCCAATCAGTTTCAGCACTTTCCCAAGAAGAAAACGAAGAACAACAACAACAACAACAACAGTAAACTGTTTGGGGAACCAGTGGCAATGCAAACTCCATTGAACGAACCTTGGATGCCATGACCGTGCACGCCGTCCCTGACAGAATCAAAATCTGAAGCCTGTCACAAGAGCTCAGTATTGACAAATTATTTCCCCTACTTGGGAGGGGCCAACGTCCAAGTAACAGCCGCTCTTCCAATTACATTTCATTCTGGATCAAGATCTTTTCACGACCCCACTTGAAGCATCATAAGCATGTTGAAGCCCCAAAAAACGACAAAACACACACACACACCAAACATGCACCGGACCGGATGCATACCCATCCCCCATATCCATCCCGACACGACGAAGGTGCAGCTCATCGATCTCGGGAGCCAAACCTTTCACTAACAAATAGGTCGGGTCTGGGAGATCCTCCTCGGAGGGCATGGACTTAAAGCCCTTGACGCCGGCGATGGTGTCCTGGGAATGGAAAATGGGAAGAGGTGACGAAGAGATGGGAACAGGTGATGCAAAGCTCGGGATCGTCTGAGATCATCTCATCATGACAAAAATAGTACAAATCTACCTAAAAGCGGAAGGTGGTCACTTACAGTAATGTCACTTCTCCATGTATCTCCGATAAAACCCGAAAGTGTGCGTCTCGCATGGGCCGAACCAAGCTGATCCCACAGCGGTCGAGTGCGGTCAAGAACCCCCTGCCACACATACGCGCACACACAAAGTATACAAAGTTCAAGGACCTTCGTTCAAAGGCACTTGGGGACGAAGTGAGTCCAAAGGCATCACAATTGGTGAAAACTCTACGCATGTCCATCAGTGGCAATGCCGAATGCCCCTTCCTTGCTTTCTGTACAATCTGGCAAGTGTATCTGCAGTGTGAGACTCCTTTTCACCCTTTTGGAACTCCTGTGGCAGTGGTGTGGACCCAGAACAACTAAAGTCGAACCACTGAAACTGAGACGGGTCATCGGACCAAACCCAACGACATCAAAGTTGTTCAACATGGTCCACATTTGATTGCACTTGTGCTTTCTCAAAAATCTTCAGCCAAATCTCATGGACCACGAAGGACCACGAGTTTTGCAGAAAAAAACGACATCTCGCACCCCAGCCCCATTGGATATCGCTCGAAGCTTCGAATGTGTTTCAACACCAAAAGGAAAATTCTATAAACTACACAAAGGATTTCCCATACTATTTCCCATATATATAATCCTTCCTGCACCGATGCCGTATCCAAGCGACGCTGACGGCTTTCTGAAACTCTGGAGTGGCAGGACTTGAAGACTCCTTAGCATATCCCCCTCCCTCTCTTACAATGAAACCAAGCGTTCCCTATCCCAACTGCTGGTAGGTACATATGACTGACATTTGCTGCTATACCATCTATATCTATATCATGTACATGCACATATATATATGTATACCTAGGCCTAGGCCATACCGGCAACTTTGGAACGTCTGGCCATAGTGTCATCTTCTAGGCCCTGCCTCCCAAAAAGGCAGGGCACAGCAAGAAGACAAAGCACTCCTGCCATGCCTCCCCCCTGCCTCCCCCATAATACCAAGCACTCCTGGTCAATCCAGGACTCCTTGTCGCCAAAAGGGGCGTTGGGATTGGCCAACAAATGTCCTTGGCCATCGCGTCGATGTCTCCCGATGTCCTATGACCACCCTACGGTGCCCGGTGCCCTCGGCTCTTGTTTAAAACATCATGAGTTGTTGGTACTTTGTGTCGTTCCTTCACCAACTTAGCGTCTTTGTTCATAACTCTGTGTGTGTGTGTGTCGAGCTGAGTGTGACTCCTCCTGACTTGTCTTTCTGTCAGGCGCGGAGGTCAGGTGCAGCAGCTGTCGTTTAGGACGCCTGGGGCAATGCTGAGCTCCAGAGTAGGCACCCTGAGGGTTGATTTGATTGAAAGCGAAGACATCTCCTCTCCAGGTCTCGACCTGGAGTCCACAGCCATGCGCCGCCCCTAGGCGGCGCTTGGTGGACGAAGTGGTTTGGTGGTCCACTCGTGCGACGAGTGGCGCCGGCGCCGCGCTACGCTTTCTCTGACGCCCAAAGGGAGCTTTGTGTCTGGACATGGGCACCGGTTTGGGTGAGGAAAGACGACTACTTCAGGCCTTCAGAATGCTTAGACCCCCTCAGAACCCTGGGCTCAAATCCCCAAGACTGTTTATGGCCAATCCTTATTATATAAATCATCACTTTGGATTTAAGCCAGGTGTCTTTACAGGGCATGGTTGGGCCCATTCAAGGCAACCTTCACAACCCGACAGTGGATCAAAGCAATCCGAAAAATCAATACCCCATAACATTTACATTTACATAGCTGCTTCTCTGGGGTGACAAAAAGTCGGCAACACATGAACTGATCAGAAAAATCTTGCGAATCAGGCATCTAAGTGGTGCACCACTGGCAGGCATGAAGGTCACATCCTTGGAGTGGCAACACTGATGTCTACCAAACCTTGTCGACTGAGGTGCCAATGAGTCGACAAGACTATCAACAATTAATTGCATAAATAACTTTGCGCGTGCACTCGCACAGAATGGAATCATCCAAAAGAGCCCTGGGACGTCTATGCAATTGATCCCTGCTCTAGAAAAGGGCTCTGCCACCTGAAAAGGAATCTGCTGAGCACTTTCAAGAAGCCACTGGAGTCTCCAGCGTGTGAGGGATGTTCCCATCCAGCTTGTGAACGATCCATTCCGCCTGCTCTGTCGTGGCCATCTTTACCTTCACAGCAGCGCCAGTGTGCTTGTGCTGGGGCTTCAGTCCGGTGTCCCACCAGCTTTTGAGGACAAAACAGGCACTCAAAGTTTGCTACAGAAACTAAGCCACTAAAGCCAGTGAGAAGCCTTCGTAGGAATCCAGGATTTTCACTTGATTCACTTGCCCATACGCCGAGAAAGCCTTCTTCACGCCTTCCTGACTGGCCGATCTGGTTCGTTGAGGTTGACTGCGACTAGTTTACGACCACTACTCCCTGAACGATTTGAATATCGTTCTCAGGGAAACCTCAGGCATATAACCCGTCTTAGAGCCTTCATATAATATATATATATAGTTATGTATATTTATTAGTCTATATTAGTATGATATTAGCGTAGGGGGGTGTTCTGAATACTCTGCCCCAGCCACTGCAAAGTGAAAAACAATGAACATGACCAAAAGTCCTCGGTCACCGTGGCCGACAGGCCTGCGTTGCGGGCTGAAAACACGACATGGGGCACCGGCGGCCCCACACGAACTCATCCGAAGCAGTAGTCTCTAGAGTAAACAAAGTGAAAGTACCAAATGGATCCAAATTGCCAAACAATACGTATATAATATGTTTTATGCGAGAGTTCAGGTTCTACGGCCAAGCCAAACATAAAGAGTGTCTTGGATGCTTGGATGTGGGGCAATCAAAAAAGAAAAGAGCAATACCCTGACCTTCATCCTCACATGTTTCTTGGTGTATCTGCAGGGTGATGATTGTACAATCCTGCAAAGCTGTTTTGTAATAACCCTGGTCCTTCCGATCCTTCGCGCTCTTAGCGTCTGCACGAAAAACACTAAGACTGATATCAACCGGTCCTCAGGACGCCTCTCCACTCAATAGACCCACTCTCCCCAACGCAACGCCGGGAGTGTTGGAATGCCTTTGATGATGATCGTCTCATTCGGTGGACATCCTTCCAGGCCGCCAAGGGCCATGCCCATGCTCCCGCCGGGAGGTGGCCCTTTGCCAGAGCCCTTGCTGTTGCTGTTGGCCAGCCTCACCTGGGCACCCAGCAGCACACAACTCCAAGCTACCAAGAAGGCACAAAAAGAGGGATTACGTATATATATATATATATATCATTTGTATGTCTTTCTCTTCTCAGGGTACATTCATTCATCTATTTCCCCTTTGGCTTACTCACATCACACAAGATATCACAAGAAAAAAACTAACTCTACCCCGCTTTACATGGGAAATCATTGGAAGGAGGCCGCAAAGCTCAAGCAGTCAGGTCAAAGCCTCGAATCTGTGAAGCCGAGTATCCAGTGATGAAAATCGTGCCTTCTTTCCCCCACCCTCCGTGACCCCAAGAACGCCCAACACCAAGACCGACACCGAGACCGCCGAAAAGATTCTCCCAGTGGCGGTCAACGTGCAGGGGCCGAACTGCATGTTGTTGGTGGTCTGGATGGCTTGCTGCGCCTCGTCCGGCGCGGTAAAGTTCACGAAGCCGTACCTGGATGGGCGCAGCACGGAAGAGGTCGGTGGGAAGGCGAAAGAGGGTGGGGAGGGAAGCTGAAGAACATGCACCTGCTGCAGGTACAATTACTATATATATATATATATAGCTACTAATCTGCACAAAGAGATGGCCCATAAGAAATCCGACTCAATGGTCTGGCAGATTTCCGGGCAAAATTGTGGGCTTTGGCTTTAAGAGCAACAATGGAGACCTGTGGGCTTGGATGGCACCCTCTGTTGTAGCCATAACCACAATAGGACATGAAGAATAAGACATGTCCCGCGCGCTTTGGCATACTGCGGCTAAAGCTTAACACGCCCCGCCCCGCCTGGTGCCATTCTTGGACTGCTCGGACAGCTTTGTGGATGTAACCTTGGACTGGCTGCGAAGGAGACGCTATCAATTTTCTGCTTCTACTACTCTCCCTGGAACAGTCATGGAAGTGGAAAACCACCTGTTTGTAGAGGAAAGTGATCCAAGGGCCCTTTTCCACTTCCATTGTTTTTTCCGGAGTGTCAACGTCCGTAGGCTGCAGGACTTTGGGAGACGTGATGCGCTAGTGCTACATAGTGCTACCATCCACGAACATCCTGCAATCTTGTGACACTAATGTTCTCTAATGTTGACCATCCACCAGGAAAGGTGCAAAGTGTTTAATTACACAAAACTACATCACAATCAAGTGCCGAATCTTTATCTGTGCAACAGTGCCATACTGGGCGAAGAAGTCCCTGAACTCCTGCTCTGTGCACGCTTCCGGAATTCCGGCCACGTAGACGTTGCAAGCTGCTGGGAAGTTGCCACCCCCACCACCAGGGCCCCACCCGCCCCACCCGCCACCCTTGCCCCACCCCATGGGGCCCCCCATGGGCCCCCCCATAGGGCCTCCCATAGGGCCCATGGGGCCGCCCATAGGGCCGCCCATGGGGCCCATTCCCTCGCCGGGATAAGCCATGGCGGATGAATTTGATCCTCAGAAACGCCTGCAAAATCCCATTCTTATGCTTCTGACCTATGACCCCGCCCGATCGAGGCCTCCCGTTTTTGGACCGTTTCAATTCCAATTGACTAAAAAGGAACGCAGTGCCACAACGACACGGCTCTTGGGGTAGGAAACTCTCCGCCTAAGCCCTGAAGCTCATGTGCTCAAGAGCACTTGGATCATTGCAGTCCCACGACTACACTCTAGGGTCTAGTCACTCAAACAAATGCAGGACACACACCAAAATGCTGCTCACTCCCCGAAGAAGATCTTGTTTGCATTGCTCCAGACCTCCGCACACATATTTGTTCAGTGGTCCAAAACGTCTGTACCCGAAAAGTGCTCTAAGTGCTCACTCTAAGTGCTCACTACGTCTTGCAGCTATAGGACATTCTAGGAGCCCGCGTTGGTTCTCCAATCTCCACCCGAACTCTATGCTCACTCTGGGCGCCCCCGGACGCCGGGCGCGGACAATCCTTCGGCTGATGAGCTTGGAGGCCTGGAGTGTTCCTGCAGCGGCATGATGATGTGAGGAGCGTGGTTTGAACCCAAAACAGCGTCCATGGGATGCACCGACTGACCCCAACCCCCCAAGGACTGATGTGGGTTTGGGGGCGAACTTTTGTCGCGGCCGAAGTGAAACAGCTCCACTTGGCACAGCTAATGTCAGTGTAAAACCTTGGGCCACACAGTAACCAGTCATTGCTCTCTTGTTTTTGTTGCTTTGAGCCACGCATGGCCATGCATAGTCTGAATCACTGAATCATGATGTTGCATGTTCAAACGGATGGACCATTGATGTGAAGGTCTTGGTACCCTCCAACATGATCAAACATGCTGGATGCCCACCGGCTCAAACAAGCTGAACCTACAACACTTGGTTGAGCCCACCAATATAAACACACAAATAAGACAAATACATACCAATTATGTATACATACATATATAATGGCATAATGGGTGTGTGTTTTGATAGGGGGACTTCCCAACCAATGGGTCGGGTAGACTGATCTATTTTGCTTCTTCCAGGCTTTGGGAGTCCCCCTAGTTCAATACACACCCATATATGTTGTGTTCACGCCTTTTACAATATGTGTTTCCTTCATTTGCATCCACGGCACCCAAACAGCTCAACAAGCAAAAAAGCGCTGGAACCTCGCTTTTCGCTGCGAGAGTGCGATGAGCCGACCCTTTTGGCGTGTAAACTGACCCAAGGCGTGCACATCATGAAGAAGAGATTCCTTTCAGTTTGTATTAGATTCTACATATTTGTGCTTGAGCTGATGGCGGGAACGAAGTGGTGAATGGCCATGAAACAGAACCACAAGCTGCCCGATCCATTCCACAAACATGACAGTATAATACACAAACATGTCCATGAGTCCGCTGAACGCGCGATAACATGCAGGCGACGCATGAGCCTGGAGCCGAATAGTTTGAAAGGCAATCGTGTCCGTGCTAAAAGTTCTGGTCTAGAGTCTCTAGCACCAAATTATGTACATTACACAGTGATCTCCGACCAATTCAAAAAAGTGTGGTCTTCCAGGCGCCGCTTGTCATGTAAACCGTGTTAACGCCCCTTCCAGGTTCTTCATATCTTGCATTGTTGGTACCTTCTTGCCATGAAATCTGGGCAGCCGATTAAAGGGGCACGACACATGAATGAAACGATGTATATATAATATATATATATATATTGACGTTTGTCAAAGGACATATATTTTAGTTTTGTTATGTTTTGTCTTTTTCCTGTGGCAACGGCGTTCTATGGGTGAGTTTGTTCTCGTCGATGGATTCAGGACAGAACCTTCCCTTTCTCAGCCACTGCTGTATGGGAATAAGCCCCTTAGTCACTCTGCAAGCTGCTCACTCAACTCAGCTATCAACAATGTCAACCCAGTTAGGCATCTTACTGAGGCACATCACACGAGCGCTAACAGTTTCACCATGTTTCACCAGAAACAATGGTACCGTCAGGGTCTCCAAAATCGACGCAACAAGAACCCTCTCATCTTCTCGATCCGGTTTGTGCCTACTATGATGTGGGTTGAGAGGTTGTTGCCCACTATAGGTGTTGTTTCATGTCGTCTTGTCCAAATGCCAAAAAGTTCGGAACAAGTGGCCACGCCCAGCATGGTGATCAGGAGGATCGGAAGCACGATCACCTCGGGAGTGGAGTTCGGAAGCTCCGTCCGATCCAAAGAGCACCACGTTCCATGGTCATTTGACCTGTACATGCAAGATGGCATTCCTCCATAGTAGACTTGTTAGAAATGGTCCAATGGTCAAAGGGACTTTTCTCTACAACCTGCCTGTGGTGGCCAACCCACGCTCCGACAAAAACGGGAGAACTCTTTTCCGGGCTGAGCTGAGGAAAGCACCAGCACGAAAGCGTGTGGCATCAATATGGAGAACATTTGATGCGGCCGTTCCTAGGAACGGGGGTGACCACGAGCTTTGAGTGACCATGAACGGAAAACTGCAATAGTTCAATTCCATCAGAGAGGATCCAATAGTAACAAAGCCCACCTTCCACAACACACTATCTACTAACACCATAGTAGCAAGTCCAACTCCTTTTAGAACCACTAACAGTCACAAACATGTCAAGCAAAAGCTGAGCATCTGCGTCTATGGACATGAGGTTGCTAGGGCTTTGCAAGCTGGTGATCATGTCCGCTGGCATCTTTTGGCAGTGGTTGTACACAATCCTGGGCAAGCGATGCAACATAACAGGCCCCATCCACGTCTGCTCGGAGCTTCAATCAAGTGGGACTGTGGGACTAATTACCTACCAACAGGTGTGCAATGGTGTCCATTCTGTATACTTACTCAGTCCAGCAGGCTCTACTGTAGGCTCCATGACACTCACGTTCTGCTACTCTCTTCACCGCACTCAGCGACCAATAAGCCTAGAAACGCCATGCGCATGGGCTTCCTACCAAACTGTCAGCTCATTGCATCACAGAGCGTGAATGGGTTGAACACAGCGTTTGCCTGCAAACGGCCAAGTCTGTACAAAAAGGGTGTCCATGCCCATACCTGCTCAATGGAATCACATTGCTGACTCCTGCTAAGGATTGCTAAGGCACGTCTGGATAGCAACACGCATCCGAAGGCCAGCCACGTGTCCCTGCGTGCCGTTTTTCGCGTCCGTTTTTCCGGTCTCGCCGAAGATCTGTTGGCCAATTTCACCTCATCGATCTTTTTTGTGTGTGTCTTGATGTGTTTAAACATGCTTAAACATGTTTAAACAAACCATTGCAGCACAGTAGATGTCAAACATTCTATGAATATCTATGAATAGATATATATGTGAATAGCATTGAATAGCGCATGTGAATAGCACATATGCAAATGAGATCACCCGAGATCACATGGCTTTACCTTGTAAACAATCAAGCTGACACTCTCTTCAATCACTGCAGTGCCAGCGCACTAGGTTTCAAGTGACAGCAAGTGCAAGCACTGACAGTTTGAATCAGTCTGAACGAGGGATCCAAATCTGCCAACCGTGAAAAAATCTGCCGACATGAACGTGCCTGTTGATACCATGACATGAACAGCCCCTGGACTGCTGAATCAACTCACCCTAGCCCTTGGAATCCCTCTTCAAATAGACTTGACCTCCTGGAAACCCGAAGGCTTTTGGCACGGCTTCACGGCCTGAAACTTGGAATAGCCAACGCCAAAGGAGATGAGGACCTCGGTCACTCCCGTCAAAGGAACATGACAAACTCGAAAGGAACACCGGCTTTTTCGCCGCTTCCATCTTGATTTGTGCACAGCTCTGTGACTAGGACAGAGCTCGGCTGTCCGATGACTAAAAACATGCCAAACTTCCAGGAAGCAAAATAAGCAAGCCATTTAACATTGATCAGATTTGGTCAATCATGCCATTCACTATGCGCGTCATGCGATTCCAAGGTATATGTAAATCTTTCCTGTACTTAATGCTTGGATGTTTGTAAATAATGAAAACACAAATCAATTTGTGAAGGAGATGCACTACAAAACTTCACCATCCAATGATCCTCCGGTACACCGCGCAGTTGGATCTCATTTTTCCGTGCCAAAACAGCTCGGCTCTGACTCGCTCTGCCGCTCTGCCTCACCAGCTTTGCCCTGCAGGGGCGCTCCAATCATCATCGCCTGCGTGACCATGGGACGCTCACACTGAGAAGAGGCCCAGAAGTGCCAAATCAGGCAAACGGACTCTTTGGCGTCTACTCCAGCAACTCACATTTAGTGCAATTGGACGTTGTTGAGTAGAAAGTAGAAACGATATGAAAGGATCACTTGTTCTTGGAATGTTGTGTCTTTCCAGAACAGCTGCTGTTGTTGCTGGTTGTTTCACCCTGCCTCCAGCTGCTGCAGGAGCATCCCAGGATGCATCCCCAGCACCGTGGGTCATGTCGTCCCAGTTGCCACCACTGCCAGCGCCCTCCCAGCTGGTGGGGGCCGCCGGCGCCCATTGGTCCTGTGACACTCTGTATCACTCCACCGTTGGAGTGAAAGCCGAAAAGGGTCGTGCCAACCATCAGAATCCCCTCACAGTTTTGATATGTGATGATCAATCTTCGGACTCCAACACCATAGGTCTTCCCAACGACTTAGGTCACGATCTGACACTTTCCGACTCCTGTGGAGCGTAGGTCTGCTGTTCCGGCTCTTCCTGTTGCATGATCTCCTGTGTCGTGCAGCCCGACTGGCGTGGCAGCCCAGAAGCTCTCCGCAGCGGCTCGGGAATACAGGCAAGCATACCGCACATCTCAAAACTATGGTGACCAAGTTTCGTTGCCACCTTCCTCTGCTCAAAGAAGCCAAAAACTAAATATCACAAATATTACACAACATAATGGTATTGCTAAAGGCAACCGCCCCGTCTCCACCCTCCACGAAACTGCCTGAATGTGAAAATTGGAAACAGCCAACTGATGGACTTTCATCCACTGTTCTGCTTAACTTGCCGGATTTGCCGTGGCAAGCTAGCGGCTAGCGACCCAGCTGTAGATGGTGCAAGGGCTTTTGACTCGAGTTTTCTCCTCTGGATCTCGCCAAAAGAAGGAGTCCACCATCACTTCCTGAGTGTGCACGCCATGGCCCAGATGGTTCTGGAGGGTGCTGGATGAATGCTATAGCTCTAGATTGACAAGACTTCTCTTGTATGCAAGTGGTTCAGGATCACCGACTCATGAGGCTTGTTGAGGCATCTCAGACATCTCAGCTTTTGTGGATTTGTATAGGTTCATCAACTGCAGCAGCATCTCACCCAAGTCGATCCCGCAAATCTGACTTGAATAGTTCTACCGGACGCACTCCCACAAGGTATTGCAAAGGGAATAGGCACGACATATAGTTTATGATAGTTTATGTGTAAGTGACTGTAAGACCATATGCACATATATGCACATGGGGTCCGCTCTACTTCCGTATTCTAGCAATTCATTTCCACCATATCCACTATCCCCTATCCCACCGCCCCCTGGAACGCTCGCCCGGTCACCCAAGGTTGGTTCCGTGGGAGTGTGCCACGGAGGTACAACACCTCCCGTGCCAAAAGCCAGTAGAGCAAAGCGATGGACTCCTTCCCCTGCGCGGCACGCGCAGCGTGCGCGTGGCGTGTGCACCGCGTGCGCGTGCACAAGCCAAAGTTGCACAACATTCGACATCACTCCTATTCAAAGAGTTGTCATGCTTGTGATGTCAGCATTGGACGATGCTTGTAGTCTTCAGGGGAGGTCGCTGGTCTGTCTCTCTCTCTCTCTCCCCCTCTCGCTCGCCCTCCCCAGTCGCCAGCACCCTCAAAACTCCCCGCAGCACCGTCGTTGGGGTGGCGACCCCACGGTCGCTCTCTTTTGGGGTGAACCACCCCCTCAACCACCGTGGCGCACGGCGAAACGCCAAGGACCCGGCCTTGTTGTTGGCGGGAATCACCACGTCCACGTTCTCCAAGGGGGAGTCGGTGTCGCAAAAGGCGATCACCGGGATACTCGCATAAGCTGCCTGGTTTTTTTTTGGGACATCAATTTTCGCAAGTTAGGCAGCAAGTTAGGATGTATCAAAACACCGAAAGGTCTTTCTGGATCATCGGCTCATGTCTGCTCTTAATCCAGTGCCGTTCAAACTCCTCCAGCATTCTGGGAACTGGGAATGTCAAATATACGACAGGCTGATCGCCTCCTTGATCGCCTGCTGATCCGTGCGGGGGTCGGTGACCAGCAGCAGGCGAGGCTCCAAGTATTTTTGAGTGATCTGGTTCGTGAGGGTTCCTGGCGAATCATTGACCATGATTACATGATTACATGATTCATTCCGCACCTTCCAACGCTTCCTTCCAACGTGCGTTGCCGTCTATTTCCTCCCATGACCTGGCGTCCGCGCCTGGCATCCAACGTCCGGCCAAAGCATTGGCACTGGTGTACTGGCCTCGTTGCAGTTCACCGGTCGCGCCCGCTCCGATGTGCTGGACCCAACCGCTCAACCGGTGGCACATCATTGGAGCAAGTACCGCGAACTGACCAGGAATCTGTTGTGGCATTTCAGGATGCAGGATGGCAACTATTAAAAAGAGCTGTCAAACCTGTGGGCCAAAAAATGATGGTAGATCATGCGCAGGATATCCCAAAGCTTGATGGCAAGCAGGAACGTACAAAGACACGTGCTGGTCATGATTTATTAATGTTTCTCAATGTGCCAATCCTGAGGTCGCTGTGTGTAGTGTGTATATGCAAAACATTGCCGCATCTACCTCTCTGGGCGCCAGGCTGAACTTCAAGACCGCTCGGGAGCCGTAGGGACGTTGGGAGGCCACAATGATGTCCTTCAACGTGGCAAAAAAAAAAAAACATGTCAAGCAAAAATAGTATATAAGGAAACACAAACAACTGAGACTTCAAGGTGCTTCTACAGCTTTGTGGGATTGAAGGTTGGCATCGTGGACAGGGCTCTACGTCAGGCACAGCTGGGATACTGTCCAAAAAGCGATCAAGATGCTATCAAGGTTTCTTATGGCCTCACCTTCCTAGGAAAACGGATAAGAAAGAGTCAACGTGTAGTACACCGCATGGATATAAGGCCCGCTGCACCACAGAAACCTCCCCAAGTACATGATTAAGAGCTGTCAGAAACCACAATAAGGTGGCAAGGGTCAAGGGTCAAGTCGGACCCAGCTCTTGCAATCATTTGTTATCGACAACGCCCTTGATTCCAAAAGTTAAGATCCTACAAGTTGGGTAAAACCACTTCAAACAATGTGCTGTTTTTTGGATGTTTTAATGATTAATTTGTTTTAATGACAGAGCTACGTGGACATTTAGTCTAATGATTATGCTTTACAAATATGTCAATGTAATATGTTGTTTCATAAATTCCACCATTAAACAAACACATATATGTCCATCAACAATTATAAACACAAACAGTTTGTGACATCATAAAAACTGTCGTAGGGTTTTCATCGATATGTCTTGTTTGTTCTTGTCCTGGGTCTTACTTACATGTGTGCATTGACATGCAAGTGAAGCGGACGCGAACGCTGGCTTTTCCGCCAAAGCTAAAGGTCAATGGCTCTGTGCGCACCTAGGCCGATATGGCCGCCGGGACATCAGTCCCATGACATGCTATGCGAACGGTCCTGCACAGCAAACTTCACACTCCAAGTATTCTGTTGGGACTGATGGGCTCTCAGCTGAATCCACGGTTTTCGGAGCCAGCTCATGAAGGTCTCGAGCACCTTGTCGCCCAACTTTGTCAGGGCGTCTGACCATTGGAGGTGTGTTGGCACCCAAAAGACTTCATCCTTTGTCAGGTGCTGCTGGATCGGTCGTACGACCACGATCGTCCGCTTGTCCTCTGTCCGAGGATTCTCACGGAGGCCAAGTAGGACATGAATGCCCCTCTGTCCACTCCAGTGTCACATGCACTGGGTTCTGCAGACAATGTTGATCTGCACACCCTCGCCGACCGCGAGGACTTCCAGTCCACCAGAAGTCCCGGACTGGTGGTGTCTGTGGCCTTGGGCTCGGCAAACATGAGGAGGTTGCCGTGTTGCGAAGCTGAGCCCATTGCATTGGCCCAACTGCTGTCGCTGTAGCTGACCACCATGGTCTGCAAGTTCATTGCAACCGGCCACATGTGGATTCCAGCGGTTTTGGTCTGCAACTGCCGTGTACATGTTGAGGAGGTCCTTGTAGGTGGACTTGCCCCCTTTGCTTGAAAGGCTGACTGTCGCCGAGACGTCGGACCGAGTCTGGCCTGACAGCCATTGCAAACATCCAGCAACTGGCCTCATCTCCGGCATGTCTTCCGGCTGGATGGTCTGGTCTTGCCGCTTCTTGCACTCCACATTGCCAACCTTCATACTCTCAATGACGGTCTGGGTCAAGGCCAAATAGGCCACATCGCCTTCCTTGCGAAGGCTCAACTCGTTGCCCTTGAAGGTGAGGCTCTTGTCGAAGGACAACTGTTCTTGCGAGCCCCACTGAAACAAATCCAACAATTGCTTGCCGTCCCAACGCTCATTGTGCGCCAGCATAAAATCATCGACGTATGTAATGAGGAGGGCCGCTAAACTGTCGTGGGTGTCACCGGGCAACTTGGTGTAGAGGTAAAAGAACATCTTGTCCAGCGAGTGCTGAGTGAACTGGGCACGAGTGGTGACCATCTTGATCACATGCATCCCCCATGTCCTTGGTGCACTGGCTAGCCCATACACATTTCCTTCGATGCGGTAGAGCGGGCTCTTGAACGTGCCTGCCAGCTTGGTCACACCATCTGTCGGTGGTGACAGAAAAAGTGGGAGATGCCGCTGGTCTGGCGTTTCCTGCAGGAAAGCTGTCTTCACATCTCCAGCCCATAGGCACCATCGGTCATTGTTGACCAGCATCCTCCCTGATCTTCCAAAAGTCTCTATTTTAATTTAAAGGGTTTTCTATCAACCTTATTTAAGGACTATAGTCTTTAATTAATTTAAGGGGTTTTCATTTGAAAGAGTCCACATGAGTGCTTGCAATGACCTGAAATGCAGTGAGCTTCTGTGCGTGCCCACTCAGTCGCTGCCGCCTGGATATAGCATCATTTTTTTTTGAGGCAGCCATGAGCGGCGGCCGCGCGCGCAACACAGCAAGCGCAGCGGAGCTATGCAGGCTGATGCGCCTGCATGTGGGCCACTTGGACGAGGAGAAATACAGGGCGAGCAACTATGAAGATGTGGTGACAGAATACGAAGAACTCATGTTGGACATCCTTGCTTTGACAGAGCGACCCAACCGTTCAGCCTTGGAAGCTGCTGCCACACTGGAGTGCAGGCTTCTGAGAAGGCCATGTTTGCCCAGCAGTTGCACAAGGCATTCAAAGCGTGCAGGACGAAGGCCAAATCTGTGACGTCAGGGGCAAAGACCGCAGCTTCTGTTCTCCGTGTGGTGAAGCGATTGCGCGACCTGGGCAGATCCTCTGCGACACCGTTGCCGGTGGCGTCAGGAACTGCCGCGTCCTCAAGCGCAGGCGCTAGGCCAGACACAACCGGCTCGGACAATGCGGGCATTCTCCAACAGGATGTGTTTGCTGCCATGGGTGTGTCACCGCCAAAGAAAGTCAGGCGCTTGGCTCCACGCCCCTCCGAGGCTTTGACAGTGGCGAGCTCAGCGCCGGATTTGAAAGAGGGGGCGACTGTGGCGCATTTCTTTGAGTGGGAGAAGCGTGTGGCAGTGCGCATGCATCCGGGTGGGCGTCGGGAGGAAGCTAAGATGAGCGCTGGGAGCAATGGGTTCCTAGTGGCAACTTGGCGAGACGGCGCCCAAGAAGAAACTGAATGCCCTACTTTGTTGGAGGATTTGGCAACCCGCAAAAAAGCCGGCCTCGGCCCCAAAGAAGAGACCCGCGCAGAAGCGACCCGCAGCCGCGCCTGCTGCTGCAGCCCTGGCATCTGAGGGGGAGGCCAATTCGGAGGAAAGCTTGTCGCCTCTGCCAGATTTGTACAATGAAAAGACAGGCAAAACCATGCTAGGGACGGAGCGACAGAAGCTCCGGCCCAAAGGCTGTGGAACCTGCAGAAATCGCAGGGGCTGCACTCCGTCGTGTTGGCGGAAGCGGGGCCTTCTTTGATTGCACAGCTGCGAACCAAAAGCAAAGTTTGTTTTGGGGGAGATTTGTGTTTTGTTTGGTCTTGTTGTTTGGTCTTGTCTCTTTCCCCGATTGTCGACCCCTCTGTATCTCGTCCTGTTCATGTCGCTTCCCCGCGCACAGCACAACATACGCGCGCGCGCACACGGTTCAGCAGTGCACCAGGGCAGTCACGGCATCCTTAGCTTCGTAGGGAGGTCAGGAGGCCTAGATGTATAGAGAGGCGCAAGGTCTGAAGTGAGTGAGTCGACTTGCAGCAGCTCAAAGTGTGCGATGCATGCATGCCGGGTTCAAAGGAAGCAGCGGACTTTGGACAGCTCCCCCTGGACTCTCGACCGACTTGACAGTTCTTGCAGCTATGGGTGGCCTGCTCCTTTGCCTTCTGGGTCAGGAGCAAGCCACCAAAACCAAAAACAATATATGTTTGAACTCATGTGTTTTGTGCATGATTTTGGGCCTTTGCTCTTGGGAGTCAGGCCTGAATGAATGCATGTTTGTTTGTTTCGCACACCTGACCCTGTGCAGGACAGAGCGATGAGACCTTCGAGGACATTCGGCCTGCTGCTGCTGACGCCAAGTGGGAAGTCGTTCCACACACGCAGGAGCTGGACGCGTCCCCGGATTTGAGCACCACATGCCTCATGTGGCGCCGCGCGTTGGCTGTTTTCCGCCACATCCAAGAGTGGCGCCTGAGCTCCTAGAGCCTGCACTGGAACATGTTTGGGTCTGTGGGTATAACCCCTCAAATGAATGAAGATATATATATATATATAACCACCTGTTAAGTGCAAGGGTTTGTTTTTTAAGGGTTGGTATATATGTTTGGATCCCAGACCCTACCCACCAGAGGCACCTATAAGTATAGTGGGCCAGGAGATGCCCTGAATCCATACCGGTCACAGCGACCAATCCTGTAGCCAGGAAAACTATGCCAGCTGAGTGGCTTTGGATTTGGCAATGTTTCCTTTGTTAAACAAACAGATAGGAGTTCAACGGTTGTGGCTTTGGAAGCAAACTCGAGTTGTGAGTTTTGGAGCAGTTGTGCGCGCAACACCAACACACACACACACGCACACCCACCAAAATTTTCAAATTTGATTTTTTTTTTCAAAAGTCTACCTTTTAATTTAATATTAAAAGGAACATTTTTGATTTTTTTTTCAAATTTGAAAATTTTTGCTGCGCAGGCTTTCTGCTCAATGTCTGTTTCCCAGACTTTGGAGTAGATGTTTGTTCATTGGACTGGTGGGGCTAGACCTTGGCGTCCTTTGCTCTTTGTGAGTCAGGACCTGAGGACATAACATATTGCACATCTTGTCCTTCCGGTTTGTTTCTCCTTCCTGTCCCCTTTCTTGTTCTTCTCTTGCTGGGTCGATGTGTTTGTCTGTCTTTTGCCGGTTTTTGGGAGCACCGTACAGGATGGCAAGTGCGATGCGCTCTCTCTTTTTTTTGAGACAAAGAGAGAGAGATGAGCTGCAGCTCTTGCTTGGCGCTGCTCTCAGCTTTTCCACCCCTGAGTAGCTCCCTGTCTGTGAGGCCACTTGTCTTGAGTACCACTTGTCCTTGCCATGGCTGGTGCGAGCAAGGCTGCTGCGCCCAAGAAGCCTGCTGCTGGTAAGGCTGCTGCGCCCAAAAAGCCTGCTGGCAAAGCTGCTGCTAAAGCCAAGGCCAAGGCAGAGCCTGCTGCTGGGGCTAAATTTA